AGATCTTGCTATGTATGTAGTTCAGGCTGGCTTTGAACTCACTTTGTATACCAGCCTAGCCTTGAACTCATTATGTAGCCCAGCTGACTTTAAACCTGCAGTGATCTTCCTGCCTCAGCCTCCCAAGTGCTAGAATTACAGGCATGTACCACCACAGCTGGCCCATTAAATACATTTTCTGTGGTTTTTTGTTTGTTTTTTTGTTTGGTTGGGTTTTTTTTTGTTTTTGTTTTTGTTTTTTTGAGACAGGGTCTCACTATGTAGTTGAGACTGACCTGGACCTCACTATGTAGCCCAGGCTGGTCTCGAACTCACAGCGATCCTCCTGCCTCAGTCTCCCGAGTGCTGGGATTATAGGTGTGCGCCACCACGCCCAGTTTACATTTTCAATTAAACATATTTTCAACTTACCATAGGTTCATTGAAATTTGACCCTGACATAATTTGAGGAACATGTAGACTCTGTTATTATTTCTGATCAAGACAGGAATGTAAGACTTTGATGACACCAAATGTGAGGTGTCACAGCTAAGACTGGCTCGGTCTCACCGATGTGGAAGGTGCCCCCTTGCTGCAGGACACCGTATGTGACTTTTCTGTGCCTTGCTTGTGTCTTCGCGTGTTACAGATGATCTCAGCTTGGGCTGAACTTTGACATCCTAGCGTGATGTCCCAGCGCCTCCCCTGAGCTGCTGTATCGTGACATGATGTGCAGCAGGACTTGGCGGGCTGTCTCTGCTCTGGACAGCTCATCTTCCCCCCTCCCTTGCCGGCCATTTTGCTCCCAAGGGAGCACCTCAGGATCAGGCACTTGGGGAGGGAGAGTCTTTGGGCCCTGAACAGGATGAGTTTGGTTCGTGGGTACAGAGGGCCATAGCAGGAATGCAGGCTGTAGGGGAGGAAGAAGGCCGGGAACATAGACCCCCACGTCCCCTGGCCTGTTTCCAGCCAGTTTCCAAGACTGCTAAGTGGCACAGTGGGGTGCTAGTGATTCCGGGTCAGTCCTGAACCCCCAGGAGGAGCAGCGCATGGCGTGGTTCTCAAAGACTAGGGATTCCAAGGCAGTGGTCTAGTGCTGCTTCCCCTTATGGTGGACAGTGGAAGGGCAAGCGGGCATGTGCAGGAGAGGCCACGCATATGAGGACCTGCCCTTCTGACAAAGTGTTACACTCTTTTGACTACTGAATTACCTCTTGAGGCCTCACCTCCAACACCACCAATGGCAGTCAGAGTTCAGCCTGAGTTTCCAGAGGAACAAACCGTAGTGTAGTGCATGATCTTTGCATTTCATTTTCTTCTTTTTCTTGCCTTCTCCTCCTCGCAAGGGCCTCCTGTGGTCCCTCACCTTAGGGCAGCCACCCCACACAGGGCACATCCTCTCCGCCCGCCCCTGCATGGAACCTTTGCGAGCCAGCCTGGCCTTGGCAGCCCAGGGGCTGGGGCCCTGCCAGGAGCTGTATGCGTAAGTGGGCAGTACCCAGCTGGTCCCACAGGGCAGCCTAGGACCGGCTCCCCCAGAAGCCAATCCGAAAAGGGCAGCCATTGGTCACAGTCTGACTGGGCTGTCCCCAGGGAGTGAGACTTGGGGGATGGAGAGGGAGGAGGAGGAGGGGCTGGGAGAAAGCCACCCTTCCGGAGGTGCCTGCTGCTAATTGGCTCTCTGGGAACGACTTGGGACACAGGGGCCAGCTGGGGCAGGAAGTGGTACACAATGCTGCTCTTTCAGGGCGACTGCGCTGGTCTCAGGTCCCGTGTGACTCCAGGGAAAGCTGGAGGACAGCCTGTTCTCAGAGGATGTTCTCTAACCTAGACCCCCCTCCGGAGGTGAGCCACAGAGCCCCCAGGCTGCCTCCCCTCTGCCCTGGGGGCACTGCTCCCCCTGGCATTGGCCTAGAGAAGGGCTGAGACCATTTCAGACCCAGTGATTTCCTTCAGAGTCTGGGACTTCAGAGACTGGAAGCAGAGTCTCTGGGGGGCTGGGGAATCACACTGGAACTCTCGGGGGACTTAGAGGACAGCAAAGCCCGGGTCCTTACCAAGCTGTGGGCAGGCGCATGGCAAGAGAGAAGCAGGATCCCCATCCTCTGGACTTAATCTTGGAGGAGAGGGAAAGCAAGGTACTAAGTACCAAATACCTTAAAAGACAGAAATTCAAAACTAATCAAAGGAAGAAAGAAAAGCAACTGGTTGGCCTAGGTAGCTTAGCAAGTCCAAAAGCAGGCAAAATGTGGCCTGTGCTCTGAAAACGGGTGTATGTGTGTAACACAGGATGGGCTGCAGAGGTAGGATGCCAGGCATAAGGTATTCAGGAGCCTGGTCCTAGCAGGAGACTTTGGCCCTGGAAACCTGGAGGTGGGTGGTATTTCTGAGGGCCTTGGGGGACCCGAAGCTGTCTTAAGAGCTCAGCACGCTGAGACTCATGCTCAATCCTGTGTCTCTGAGCCCCACGCTTGTCACAGAAGCCGGGCCATGGCCTCCAGCCATGGAACAGCCTGTGCCGCAGCCATGTCCACGGAGGTGAAGCGTGGCTGGAGTGACAGTGAGCATGTTGGCTGCAGTAAGAGGCTTCCAGGAGCCGCCCAGCCACAGGAGAAGCCACAGAGGGGCTCACAGATGCCCGCAGCTGCTGCTTTAGCAAGCAGCTTCTGTCCGGTGCTGGGCCAGGCCCTTGTCACTTGGACTCATACTAGGAGGCAGTGGCTTTGATGCCCACACCGATGTGTCCCACACTTCCCTTAGGGCGTCGAAGAAGTAACTCCTTACTGGAGAGGGTAAGCTTTTGTCTGGTCCTTCCCCCACTCAAGAACCTTCTGTGGACCCCAAGTATTTTTCACATCATGACTCCCTGCCCTGATGTGTCCAGGACCTTTAAAATAGTCTAAAAGTAGGAAGGGGGATGTAGCTCAATGGTTCTGCCACCTGCCTCACAAGCACAAGGTCCTAAGTTTGATCCCTGGTACCAATAAATCAATCATTCAGTCAATCAGTCAATCACCTAATTCAGTGTGAGTCCGGAAGGCTTTCTCGGTCACCTGGAGTAGTGACTTACTGGTAAACTCATTCTGCGTCCAGGATTTATCTACTTCAGAATAATCCAAGGAACTAGGGCTTCAGTGGCTGATAGTGTAAAGTGAGATCTGCAGGCTACAGCCACTCAGCTACCACCCGGTTTTACTAGGACACAGCCTCACTTGCTGTTTTTGTATTTGTTTAGTCTTCGGTGACACAGCTGAATAATTGTAATAGAGACCATGTGGCCCGCAAAGCCCCAAATATTTACTAATATTTGCTATTTATTAAAAAAAAAAGAAAAAGATTGGTCCTGGTTCATATTAAGCAAGTTCATTGTGGTTGATGGTAGAGCTCATATTTTTATGTGATTGGACTTTTCCATAATGAAAAGTTAAGAAAACACTTTGACCCTGTAGTCATCTCACTTCTAGGAATCTACGCCTTACAGAGAAACCATTAATAAGGGTGTGTGTGTGTGTGTGTGTGTGTGTGTGTGTGTGTTTACTAACTAGGTTGCAGTGGGTTTTGTTCAGCAGTGCAGGAAGGTGAGCATAAATTGTCCCTGCCCAGACTGGGGAGTAGCATGTTGTCCCTTTAAAGGATGAGCTAGAGGTTTGGCATCTACTTGAAGAGTGTTGATGAGATATTTTCCAGTAAGAAATGCAAGACAGGAAAGTCTGTGCATGTTAATGCCATGTTCACACAATGATGGCAGAATTCACTGCTTCAGGAAGTAGGGGTGTGTGTGTATGTGTGTGTATGCACTGTGCGTGTGTACACACATGTGTAGGAACCCTAACCAGTTGTTGATGTGGATCAGGGGTGATTGATGTCTGCTGAAAGGAAGCAAAGTTTTAGAAAGGAGAAATTTCTACTACTTAAGAAACTATCTAAGCCAGGCATGGTGGCACACACCTGTAATCCCAGCACTCGGGAGGCTGAGGCAGGAGGATCGCTGTGAGTTTGAGACCAGCCTGGGCTACATAGTGAGTTCCAGGTCAGTCTCAACTACATAGTGAGACCCTGTCTCAAAAAAAAAGAAACAGCCTACCTCGGTGGCTCTGGACCTGGCAAGCACAAAGTCCTGCGTTCAATCCCCAGTACCAAAAGAAAAAAAAAAAAGAGGAAGGAAGACACAGCCTACATGATATGATCTTCTTTATATGTTTGTGTAAATTTTATTTATACATGTGTGTTGTTAAATTTAAGATGATTATAGCTGGTCACAGTGATGCACACCTGTAATGCCTGTAATCCTAGCCAATTCAGGAGGCTGAGGCAGGAGGATTTTGAATCCCACCTGGGCAATTCAGTAAGACTTTGTCTCAAAAAATAAAAAGGGCTGGGGATATAGCTCAGCACACCTTGGTTTAATCCCCAGTACCACAAAAATAAATGAATAAATAAGCAAATAAATAATTTTAAAAGAATTGTAGTTGTAAAAACACCTGGAAAGATATATTTTTAATGTCCTTCGATGTAATGAAGAAAGGAAAAGGAAATTTGTCTAGGAGTCCATAATGCCCAAGCATGAGAAGGCGAGAGGCTGGAGTGGCCAGCTAGGAAAGACCCCTGGACAGTTTAGAGGTGACAGGGGGCAGCTGGATGGTCTCGGGCCACATTCGCTCCCTGACATCAGCGCCCCTTCCTCCTGCTCTCCAAGGAATAATGTTTCCCTGGGGGATGAAAAGCCTCTCTTTGTGTGGGCTTTAATTGCCGTGTTGTGCCAAGCGAGTGAGTGGCAGGCAGGCACAGCAGCTGGGCATCACCAATGCCAGGCAGCAAAGCCCGCTCCATCCAGGACCGCAGGGACCAGCTGGCCTGGGAGCACTGCCCACCTCTGCCCCCAGCTGGGCGCCTGCAGAGGAACCAGCCTCCCTTGGCACAGGGTGTCAGCGGGGGAGAGGAGCATCCAGGAGGAAGGGGCGGGCCCCTCTCAGAGGCTTATTCATCATATCCTCCTTTCCCTTCCCCCTCTTGTTTTGCAGACTGTCAGCATCAATAAGGCCATTAATACGCAGGAAGTGGCCGTAAAGGAAAAACACGCCAGAAATATCCTTTTGGATGTTGGGGAAGGCTGGTCTCGGCGAGGGTCAAGTCATGGGGACTGGAGTTGAGAAGAAGCTCTTGCACAGCAGCAGGAGAGGACCCCCATCCTGACCAGGTGCCTGCAGGCTGGAGCAGCTTCCGATGGTAGCTGCAGGCTACCCAAGAGCACTGGCTTCAGAGCACACAGGCATCAGGGTGGAAAGGACCCACAAGGCCATCGAGCCCAGTTCTTTCAACTTGCCAAAGACCCTGCTGCTCTCCCTTAGGATGGAAGCTTGGCAGAACCTCTACATTCCTGAAAGCTGCTTTCCTAAAGGAAAAGAGCACTCCCAGGGCTCAGCACCTGTCTTTTTCAAGCCCTTTAGCCCTTGCATTTTGCCCCTAGGGCCACACCGACCACCCCCAAGGGACGCAGTGATGTTCCTTCTCCTGAGTTTGAAAAGGTAGAAAGAAGTCTCAGCTGCGGTAAACAGAGGCAGGGGTCCACATGCAAGAAAGACCCACCTTGTGAGCAAATGCGGCCTGTGCTTGAGTACCCGAGGGAACTGGTGGCTTGAAAGTCCTTTTCCAAGGCCACCACACCAGGTTGGCCTTCGTGAGGATGTGGCTGTGAAAGAGGCTGATGGATCCCCTGGGATCTGCCCTGGGACCCTATGAGCTCTGAGGAGCTGGATCCCTCAGGATGGAGAGAAGCCCCGGTGGGGGCGGCTGCAGGGCCCTGCTTGCCTGGGCTCCTGTGGGTCACTTTGACCCAGCCGTCAGATCACAGCTGTTTATCCCAGAGCTGCCCAGCCTCGGCCCCTGGAGGGGACCTGCCAGGTTAGATGGCCAGAGACAGACAGACAGTGCTGCTCCCGTTGTGGGTTGGAATTAGGACTTTGCTGGGGAATGCGGGCTATGGAACCCCACTGCGGTAACCCAGAAGCCCAACCCAACAGCGAGGCTGGCTTGCGCCTAGTTTGTTTCTCCCCAGAAAGTATTGCTGAGCCAGGCTCGTTTTGCTCACCGTGCAGTATGCCAATGGATGAAAAGGGAACTTTGCTGGAAGACCTCATTCATGAGGTGGCCATGCCTGAGGAGACAGGAGAGCGGGTCTCCCATTGCCTCCCTGGGGATGGGGTTTAGAGGTTTTTATGGGTTAAGAAGCAGAGTGGTCTGAGGCATGAGGACCAGTGATCGGAAGAAGTGGAGTAAGGGCATCAGTAATGTAAGCATAGATAATCGAACCCATGTTTCTGGTAGGGGCATGTTCTGAGCATGCTCTGTGGGTGGAGTGTTGGCCCTCTGACCCAAGTGATGGGATTGGTGGCTTCAGCTGATGTGAGCTAGACAAGGCTACCTCCTAATTCCTAAGGAAAAAAAAAAAAAAAAATCAACCAAGGCAGATGTGGTATAATCCCAGTACTCTGGGAGGCTCAGGCAGGAGGATCACAAGTTTGAGCCCAGCCTGGGCAACTTAGCAATCTAGTGAGACCTTGTCTCAAAATTTAAAAGGTCTGAGAATGTAGCTTAGTGTGAAAGCCCTGGGTTTAATCCCCCAGTACCAAAACACAAAAACACCATTAACTTGACTATCGAGGTGTTAGCACAGGTACCCTGAATGAAATACATTATTGACAAGTGAAAAAAAAAAAAAGATTCAACCAAGGCAGATGTGGTATAATCCCAGTACTCTGGGAGGCTCAGGCAGGAGGATCACAAGTTTGAGCCCAGCCTGGGCAACTTAGCAATCTAGTGAGACCTTGTCTCAAAATTTAAAAGGTCTGAGAATGTAGCTTAGTGTGAAAGCCCTGGGTTTAATCCCCCAGTACCAAAACACAAAAACACCATTAACTTGACTATCGAGGTGTTAGCACAGGTACCCTGAATGAAATACATTATTGACAAGTGCAGGTGCTCGGCCACTGAGCTATGCCTCCAGCCCAGAGATCGTTATTGTTTAGCTAAGCAACTTCTAAGGTCAGTGGTAAAAGCAAGTAACTAGAAGCAAGTAAAACAGAGGTTTCAATTTTTCTTTGGGCTGGAAAGGCCCAGTCACTCCCCTGTACGGCAGTACACTCAGTTCCCTATGGGTAACCAACAAGAGCTCTTCTAAGTGGCCCGGTTGGTTTTTCACGTGGAATCAGTCCTGACCCCTACTGGCTGAGGGTGAGTGGTCAGTCTGATGGGAGACTGAGTCAGAGAAGGCTGAGGACCTCTTCTGGGTGGGGGTCGGTAGGTTCAGAGAGGCCTGGCCTTGGAGGCAGGGTGCCTGGGATGGGGGTCGTGACACTGGGAAATTCCAGAACCTGCTTGCTGGGGGCTCCCTGGTTCGCTCTGAGACCTCATTTAGGGCCTCAGATAACTCCATTCTCGTTTCCATTAAAGAGTGGGCCAGAGATATTACAGAGTGAGCGTTCTGGCTCTATATTTGGTGAATCTCTCAGATTGACAACTTTGGCATGGTGCATAGATGTTGAAAACATCAACTCCCTATTGTACAGATTTTCAATGCCTAGTTAAAAAGATAAAAAGAAACCATCCTTTATCAGCTCTTTTATCAGCTCTTCTAGATCCCAACTGAATAAGCATTAGTGATCTGGCTTCAGAAATGCTATTCAGTCATCTACCACTGATGCCTGCCTGGGAACAGGTTGGTCCACTCCTGAAGGGCCTGGGTCTTATTTTATTATTTTTTCTCCCTGAACACCTGTTACACGACCTGATTAATACTTGGGGGTCACATAAAAGCTTACAAAACCAAAGGATGCTGGACAGGTCTCCTGGCTTCTTTCAGAGTCAGAAGGGCCAGCTGGCTCCAGGCCTGTGTGTGTGGCTTTTGTGTAAACAGAGGCCCTTGGGTACAGTGAGGAGCCAGAGTAGGCAGCTGCCACCTCCCCTCCCTGCTTCTGTCTCGTCTGAACGCAGACCCGAAGTGTGTATGCCCAAATGACTTGAGAAGTCACTCCAACACCAAAGCTGATTTCAGCTTCTCAACCCAAAAGCCTTGTGTTCACAGCCACCCGCCTCAGAATGACAGTTTCATCCAGGGAAGGAGCTTTATGGCACCTTCAGCTCAGGAGCAAGACATGTGTTCCGGGTGAGTCATTGCTCTTTGGCCCTGGGTGAGGCATTTTCCCTAAATGGCTCTAGGCTCTTCACCTGCATCTGGATGAAGAGGCTTGAGTCTGAGGAAAGGGCTCACTCAGGGCTGATGATGCTAAGTAAGGGGGCCTTGCAGCCTCTTTAAGCAAAGGTGTGGTGGAAACCTCTTTTCCAGAAATGGCTTGCTAATGATTGAGATCTGAATGCCAACCCAGAAGCCACACAGAGCCAGATGGACAATTATCACGTGCTGACTAGCAGTTGGTCTGTAGGCGGTGGCTGCGTTTGGAGCTGGGTCTGGGAAGGAGCAGCCCCAGGATCTCATGTGTAGGGCGTTGGAGTTGTCAGGAGGAGGTCAGGATGGTTGATGGAAGAGGTGGGGGTCGCAGGCATGTGGAGACTGCAGGAAGGGCATTTTAGACAGACTTTCAAAGGGACAAGTAGCTGACCAGTGAGGGTTTGGAGGTGCTGCCCAAGAAGACCCATGAGAATCAACTGATCAGGATAGAGGATTTCCCCGCACCAGCCCTGCAGCGCACTCTTGCTTCTATTCATTTGTTCTCTTCTGCATTACAGGGAATCGAACCTAGGGCTTCATGCTTGCTAGGCAAGGGCTGTACCACTGAGCTACAGTCCCAGCCCACACCTTCCTATAATAATCTCTCAGAATTCTGAGAAGGTGTCACATGTTGTTAAGATGTTAACTGTGTTTAGTCCCCAAGGGTCCCACCACTTGCTCGGCACACCCAGAGGAGAGCAAGCCAGGCCCTGGGGACATGTGTACACATTAGGAAGAGACACACTCTCTCAAGATGCTTCCACACGCAAGGGAATTTCCTCACAGGACAGATCTTACCAGAAAAGGGCATTTTATTTCCATCGGCTCAAAAATTGTCAGAGTGAACACCCAGATCTCTGGGCCTTCACAGTGAGCCTGTCCCAAGGGCCCCCTCCCCACTCCCCGAAAGTAGCACCACGTGACCTAAGCAGCTGCCACAGCCTCCCCAGTGGCCAGGTGATGCTCGGTCCTGGGTGTTAGTGTCTGTGGCGGGGCTGACGCCTTTGTTTTCCATGACTCCCCTCACCGTGCATCCTGGGCACACACCATGAGAAAGGGGCTCAGACCTTTTGGTCAGTCGTCAACCGGCTGCCTCTCTCCAGCAATGCGATGTTGTGCTGGAAATTCTGCCACGTGTTCCACAAGCTCCTCCGAGACGGACACCCAAACGTGAGTTCCTGGGGGTGCAGCGGGGCCTGGGAGCCAGAGGAGCCTATGGGGAAAGGGACTGCTGAGCCAGGAGGCTGCTGTCCACTGCCACTGCCCCCTTCTCCCGGCTTCTCGGCTCCGGAGGGGTAGGTGCGCCTCAGCTGTCCCTTCTCTTCTCTTACGGCTCTCCTCTTCGCTCCCCAGGTTCTGAAGGACTCCCTGAGATACAAAAGTGAATTGAGTGACATGAGCAGGATGTGGGTGAGTTTGGAGATGTGTCCAGGGGCCACAGACCAAGGACTGTGGATTCCTCTCCTGCAGCTTGTTTAGAATTTCTCCCCTGCTGTGCATCAGGAAGGGGACCCGGATGCCACCAGATATACCGCCAGGTCCACTGTCTTGCTCGGGTGCCCGGAAACTGCAGAAGAGTTCTGGGGCCTCAAGGCTCTCCTGTCAGTGGAACTGCGTGTCCCAGAGCTCTCCGGGCTTAACAGGGACATTGCCAGAGTTTTTCCTTAGGGGTCATAACACATTGAGAATTAGCATTTTTAATTCTTTTTTTTTTGTTTTGTTTTGTTTCTTGAAACAGGGTCTCTCTATGTAGTTGAGACTGACCTGGAACCCATTAGGTAGCCGAGGCTGGTCTTGAACTCACAGCAATCCTCCTGCCTCAGCCACCTGAGTTCTGGGATTACAGGCATGTGCCACCACGCCCAGTTTAGCATTTTTAATTCTTAATGCCAAACTCTCTCTCTCTCTTTTTTTTTTTTTTTTTTTTTGCGGGGCTGAGGGGTGGGGGGGATTTTCAGTGCCTTAGGCTGAAGGAGGAGGTAGGTGGCAGCTCCTACATCCCTGTAAGTTCAGTTGACCAAGGGTACATTCATGGGGCAGGGTTGATCCACAAAGTGAAGAACCTCCCTATTGACGGTGGAGAGGCCATTTTCCACCTGCTGGCTGAGAGCCACTACTTTAGCCTTTCCTTCCGGTCTTATTGTATCTAGCCCTTGCAAGTTACACAGTCCAGTCAGGTCACCGGTGAGGAGGACAGGTCCAGAGGGGGAAGTGTTTTATCCTGAAGTCACAAGGTGTGTTGTCTGAACAGAGCTGAGACTTGCCCCTAGCTCTTTCCTATGACCTGTAAAGCTTTTTCCATTCTTTTCCCTGTTTTTTTTTTTTTTTTTTTTCCTTTGTTTGTTTTTAAGGCAAAGTCTTGCCATGTATTTCAGGCTGGCCTTGAACTCACAACAGCAATCCCCCTGCCTCAGCCTCCCCAGTACTGGGATTATGGGCATGTGCCACACTAGGCCATTCTTTTACTTTTGACTTACCAATATTCTCATCTTTTAGGAATATTTTTTCTTTTTTTTTTTTTTTTTTTTTTTTTTTTTTTTTTCCTTTGTTTGTTTTTAAGGCAAAGTCTTGCCATGTATTTCAGGCTGGCCACCTTAGGAATGTTTTATAAATAACATTTACCGTAGTTGGATTCTGAGCTGAGCTCTTGCTATGTTATACATGTTGGCCATAAAGGATTTTGGTTTTGGTTTTATTTGAGATGGCCATCGTTATCTTTTAACTGGGCATTTGGTCCACTTACATTTATTATAATAGAGGATGTATTTAAGTTTATATCTCCTACTTGTTTTTTTGTTTGGTTTGGTTTGGGGTTTTTGTTGTTTGGGATTGAACCCCAGGTCTCTACCACTGAGCTACATACACCCTCAGCCCCCACATCTCCCATACTGTCTTGTGCTTTTCTATTTGTCTCACATGTTTTTATTCTACCTCTCTCATTCTTTGCCTTCTTTTGGGTTGATTGAGGTTTTTTCTCATGCTATTATTCTCTTCATTACTTGCTGGGAGATTTTAAAATCTAATTTTTAAAATTGTCAGCATATTCTTTAATAGCCACAAAATGCTTGATTTATCAAAGTCTAAGTTTCATATCTGTATTTGTTTCCTGTAGAACACAAAGACTTTAATATTTTAATAACATTCACTCCCTCAGTTTGTATGTTATTATTGTCATATGTTTCTCTTTTTAAACTGAAGGTATTGTTTTATTTTGTACCCTTCTGAGACCTTTCACCTGGGCTCACTTTCTGCCTGGATTAATTCTGTTAGAACTTTCTATGCTGCGAGTCTGCTAGTGACAGACACATTTTTGTTTGTGTGAGAATGACTTTGTTTCAACCTCATTCATGGAAGATGTCTTCCCTGGTTTGGAATTCTAGGCCAACAGTTATTTTCTCAGTGCATGAAGAATATTATTCAAGTCATCCTTCCACTGACTTCTGGCTTCTGTTGTTTTCTTGGAAGTCAGCTGTGACATTCACCAAAGTGCCTCTGAAGCTAATCTGTGATTTTTCTCTGGCTTTTTTTTTTCTTGCAGTATTCAGGGTTGAACCCAAAGCTTTCACACTGGAGCTACATCTCCAGTGCTTTTTAAAATTTGTTTTGAGATAGGGTCTGGCTAAGTAGCCCAGGCTAGGCTCAAATTAGTGATGCTCCTGCCTCAGCCTCCCCTAGTCCTGGGATTAGGATTACAGGTATTTGGCACTATGTCTAGCTAACCCTGTTTAGTATCTTTTATTATGAACAATTCTGATTGTCACTTCAAATACCACCTTGACATAAGTCTCCTTCCCTTCTGCGACCTTAGTTAGAGCTTTGTCAGTGATTCTTACCAACTCCTAACGGCTATATATATATATTTTTTTCCTACCAATTGGTCTCTGTTGCAGTCTAGATAATTTCATCAACTCATTTATTCCTTCTTCAGGTGGGGCTAGTCTGTTGTTAAGCTTCTCAGTAAAGTTTTCAATTTTAGTGTAGTTTTCAACACTTTTTTCTTAATTTGCTTGGTATCTTTTTCTTTTTCTTGGTTTTTTTGTTGTTGTTGTTTGGTTTTGGGTTTTTTTTTTGTTTTTGTTTTGAGACAGAATCTCACTATGTAGTTCACACTGGCCTTGAACTCACTTTGTAGCCCAGGCTGGCCTCAAACTTGGAGCAACCCTCCTCCTCAGCCTCCTGAGTGCTGGGATTACAGGAGTGTGCCACTGTACTCGGCTTCCTTTATATATATATTTTTATGCCCTACAAATACTTTTAAACAATCCCCTATTTTTTTTAGATACAGTAAGCTTAGTTATTTCATATATTGCTTTTTATAATTCTGTTGTATATTCTTTTTATAATTCTGCATTTCTGGTGAATTTTGCCCATGCTTTGCATTTTCCTTTTGTGCTTAGTTATTTTTTACTGCGAGCTACTCATTTTTCCTGGGATTTTACTTGTGGAGATTCTTTGAAGTGTGTAACAAAGGCAGGTTCCTCCAGAGACACTTGGCATTTGCTTCCATTAAAATCATTCTAAATTAAATTCTCAGCTGGAGGTTTTGCGAATTCTGGGAAGATCCTCTTGAGGCCTGGCTCTTAGGTTCAATTCTCAGGAGAGTATTTTCCTTCCTTCAAATCATAAGAATGGTTTGAGGACATAGATTCTCCCTACGGCCCTCAGGGAAGAATTCCTCCATGCAGGAGTGCCAGGGTGAGTGTGTGTGTGTGTGTGTGCGCGCACGCGCGTGTGCCTGTGCTTCCCTTGCACCCAGGAGCAGTCTCCTGACCCTTTCACTCAATTCCCCCACCTGAGCTGACCAGAGCCTTGCTTCCTATTCACCATCTAGGCCTTGAGGTCTGGAAAACCTATTATTTTTTAGTAGTTCTCAGTAGAAAAGTCAACCCAAGTTCCCAGCCTGCTTCGCTGTTCAAGTAGGATCCTTTATGCCTTTCTTCCTATGCAGTTCTATCTTGGTCACTTCCTCTTCCTTCCCACAAAACATCGAACACCCACAGCTTAGAGGAGGAGAGGTTTATTTTGGTTCACCGTTTTTAGAGGTTTCAGTTGATAGTCAGCTGGTTCCACGTCAAGAAGGCACGGCAGAGAGGTACAGCAGAGGGAAGGCTACTTGTACAACGGCAGCCCGGAAGCAGAAAGCTCTCAGGGGCCAGGTACGGGGAGATAAACCCTCCCAGGTCATGCTGCCAGTGATGCAGCTTTTCAACAAGACCTCTCCTCCTGATGTCAAATTTACCTACAGCACCCGCTTTCACCTTTCAAGAACCCATGCCAGCGAGTGCTTGGGACTCTTGGGGGACATCTAGATACAAACAGCCACAACTTCTGTCTCTCATCTCGGAGTAAGAGTTTCTGAAAATCAGAGCCCTTTTTTGTTTTTGCTTTGGTACTGGGGACCGAATCTAGGGCCTTTGTACTGAGCTACATCTCTAACTCTTTTTTAATTTTTTGAGACCGGGCCTCACTAAAGTTTTTGGGACAGGCTGGCCCCAAACCTGCAATCTTCCTGCCTCTACCTCCCAGAGTGCTGGGACTGCAGATGTGTGCCATCACACCCCTCTGTCCCTGTGCATTTTATGTTATAATTGTCTTATATTTTCACTTTCCAGCAATTTCTAATTTTTCTAGAATGAATAAGTATTACATAAAAATTAATAAGATATGAATTGTTCCTAGAAAATTAATACATTCTGAAAGCACTGGCAGCTGTGGTGCCTCCCCCATCCCTGCCCTCCCTTGGTGTCCTTTTCTGGAGGGCTGCAGTGCCAGCCCTTTAGCCTACCCTAGAGGACTTGGCGCATTTGAAAGAGAATGTAGAAGGCAAAACTCAGGTGAGAACCGCAGCCATTCAGATTTAAAGGTCTGTGCGTTCCCATGCCCCACCCGCCCACCTTTTCTGTAGATAACTGGGAGTTGCCAACATCGCTGTGCTAGTTTGACTTCTCCCCAGGCACCTGGGGCAGGTAAGGCTCTCTGGCTGCCTGGCAGACCCCATGGGAAGGCTCAGGAAGGCGCCACCCTATGGAGACTGTTAAAGATGCTCTTTGTCTCTGGAGTCTGGCTGAAGACTTGTTCTTTCCCTGTACTTAGAGAGGCAGAGAGGAAGAAATAGCCCATGACTGGACTGAGTGATCGAGTTGGAGACTAAAATTCTTAAATGAAAAAGTCTTGTTTAGAATTTACCATAAGGAAGTCCTCATGTTGTATGCAGGATTGTATGGGCACAGTGGTGCTCCTAGAGGCTCAACATTCTGAAGTCTACAGCAGGAAGACTACATAAGCCCCAGGGCTCAAGGCCAGCCTGTGTAACATAGCAAGACCCGGGCTCAAGTAAAATAAAATGGAACTGTTGAGAAATATGCATTGTGGGGCCGGGGATTTAGCTCAGTGGTTCCACAGCCTGCCTTGCAAGCACAAGGTCCTGAGTTTGATCCCCAGTACCCTCCCCCAGCAAAATGCATTGTGTTGGATGGACATGATCAGTGCAGAGTATGCATGGATGTTGGAACTATCAGTGGATTCTGCAATTATTATAGTTATTATACTATAATTATATATAATAATTATATAATTATTATATTATAATATAGTTATATAACTATAATAAAAATTAAACATTCATTGAAATGTAATTTGCAATAGCAAAATTTTCAACTCATTTGAATTGGCTTTACCTACTTGGAATGTATTGCATCGGTTCAATAAATTATGATACATACTTCAGAGAGAGCTGGGCAGCCACTAAAAAACGATGTACAGAACCAAGCATGATGGTGCATGCCCATCCCCGCTTCTCAGGAGAATGAGGCAAGAGGATTGCTTGAATCCACAAATTTGATTATTTTGGTTTGTTTTTTGTTGTTGTTGTTGTTGTTGTTTTGCTTTTTTGAGACAGGGTCTCTCTATGTTTCTCAGGCTGGCCTTGAACTCACTAAGTAGCCCAGCCTGGCCTCTAATTCTTGATGATCCTCCTGTCTCAGCCTCCTGAGTGCTGGGATTACAGGCCTGTGCCACCATGCCCAACTGAACCCACATATCTGAGACCTGAGTGGGCAACATGGGGAGACCCTATCTCAAAGGAAGAACGTAACCTAGAAGAAAATGGGAAAAAAGATTGCGGTACATTAGGTGAAAAACATAAATTGATTCCATTTTGAAATATAAGAATAAAGGTGGTGCCCTAAGGGTTTTGGGGCACTGAGATCATCGAGTGTGATACTATAACAGTTGACCTGGGTATATGTTTTGTCAAACCCTATGGTATGTGCAGCGTGGAGAGTGAACCCTACTGTGAACATGAACTTGGGGTGACAGTGACTTGTCACTGTAACAAGCGTACCTCTCTGATGGGGGCCTTTAATAGTGGGGGAAGCTCTTTGTGTTCAGGGCACGGTGTAAGGAACTCTGTACAGTCTCCTCAGTTCTGCCGTGGACCTAAAGCTGCTCTTAAAATTAAAAAATTGAAAAAAATAAAAGGGAGGTTTATACCCAGTGTTAGCCATGATGATATTTAGTGGTATAATTGGGTAATATGTTCATCTATGTATATGCTTTTTCCAATGTTTTCCAGTTTTTCAGCCACTAACATCTGTCGTTTTTCTCCCTCCCCTCCCCGCTCCAGCATGGAGGATTGAACCCAGTGCCTTCACATTGAGCTGTATCCCCAGCCCTATTTTTAAATTTTTTATTCTGAGACAGTCTCACTAAGTTGCTCAGCCTAGGCTCAAACTTGAGAGCCTCCTGCCTCAGCTTCTCAGAGCGCTGGGATGACAGGCCTGCACCGCCACTCCTGGATGTTATTTTCACCAAAAAAAGATAGTTCCTTCCACCAGAAGCCCTGACTGCAGACCCCTCACCCCAGGTGTCCTCAGTGGTGACACTGCTTCCTTTCCTCTCCGAAAGGGCCACCTGAGCGAGGGGTATGGGCAGCTCTGCAGCGCCTACCTCAGACTGCTGAGAACGAAGATGGAGTACCACACCAAAGTGAGTCCCTGCCCCTGGGGTGTGCACCCCGCGTCCTAGCCCTGTGGGAAGCAACAGGGCAGTTAGGCCCTGGGGAGGCAGCAGGGAGACGAGGCTTTGACCTGCGTGTTCTGCGCCTTCTGGTGCCCTTTTACAATGGAGGACCCACATCCACCAGGTGGCCTTGGGGAAATGTCACCCATGCCCTCCACTGCTATCACAGCAGTTCTCGCGGCTTCGCTAGTGAGTGTCCATGGCACACCTGCTTTTAATCAGTACCTGACTAGGTCGGTATTTCTCCATCCCTAATGCAGGTGAACTTGGCAGGCACCAGAGGAGGCATAAGCTATGGAGCCAGAGCCTGCTCCGAGGACTTCACAGGGCCGTGGGGAGAGGGAGCTCGCCTGCAGTGGCCCGTAACAGTGCGAGGCCATGGGATCGGGAAGGGCTAGTTATCCTCTGTCAGACGTGTTTGGACGTCATCTCATCCCCAGCAGCTGTGTGGCAGAGGTGTCAGACCTAGCAAAATGCCCCCAGTCCCATCATGTGGCTGCTCAGTGGGGAAGCAGGCATTGGAACCCAGGCCTGTTGGACACCACAGATGTCCTGTGCCCATGGCTGCTCCTGCCCACCCTCTATATATCACTGAGTGGCACCAGGCCAGAACTAGACGGGCTCTGAAGAGAGGCCTTGCCCTGGCCTCTGAAGTCTTCTAGTTGGCCTGGGAGAGGGAACCAGGCTGGGTGAGCAATAGCAGGAGGTAGCACCGAATTGGGCGGGGCCTGTCTGGCCTGGGCCTGGGCCAGCACTGTCAGAGACGGCAACAGCTAAGCTCAGGCTGGGAGGGCAGTGGCTGTCTGTGCTGCATGGGCTGCATGGTGCTTTGTACCACAACACAGCCCTCCGGTTACTGCCGGTAAGGAATCTGGGCAGGCCTGAGTGGGGAGAACACAGGAGCAGAGGCTAAAGATGGAGAAGAGCAGGCCTGGGGGGGTCCCAGCCTGGGGTTCTGAGAGGACAGCACCGGTGTCCTGTCCCTTTGTGTCCTCTGTCTGCCCAGCTTCCAGCCACGATCAGGTGCCCAGTCCAGACTGACTAAGAGAAGGGGATGGGAGGTCCTGGGCAGAGAAGGAGGCTGGCCCTTCTTTGATAGCAGAGAGAGGTAGAGAAGGGGAGGTACTGGAAGCTGGGAAGTGAGTGGAAAGCAGGGGCTGAGGCCTCATGCCAAAGACGGCAGTGTGGGATGGGACACCAGTGTGAGAGTGAAGCTGTTACAGCGGCCAGGGGGGCGGGCGAGGGATCTGTAGCAAGGACTGTTAAAGGGCACCATTACAGACTGCACGTTGAGATCCCAACCCCTAGTACTGCGAGGTCAGGGGCTATAGGCCGTGCGGGTAGAGCATCTCTCCCTCCACCTCATGATGGGCAAACCAGAATATAGCCCTCTCCAGGAACCAGATTTACCAGCGCCTTGACCTTGGGCCTCCAGAGCTATGAGAAATCAATGCCTGTGTTCAGCCCAAATGGACAGAGATGGATGCTAAGGCCAGAGAGCGTGGATGAATAGTGACACTAGCTGTGAGGCCTTCTGTGGGGACATTTGGCAGCTGGTCCTAGGTGCAGAGTGTGATGAGCATCCAGGCCCAACAGGGTTTAGTGGCAGTATGACAGAAAGGTGGCAGCTTCCAGGCCGCCAGTCCTGATGTCTTGAGGGAGCAAGGAAGCGACCGGGAGGGGCCGAGGAGGTTGGGAGAGAGACCGGAAGATGAGGCCCAGATGTTGCAGCAGCAGAACGAGGAACTGTGGTGAAGATGTCTCCAGAGGGACGGGTCCAGGTGATAGTAGGATCCCAAATGGGTGTCAGTAAGTAACCGAAGGTCCTAGAGTTGTGGAGGCAAAGGTTGTAACCACAGAGTGCCGCAAAGGAAGCCTGTGGCCTGGATGCCAGGGACTTGGGTGAATACGGGGTAATGACCAGAAAGTGAGCCATGTCTGTGGGATGGAGAAACATGGGGACCCAGGAAGAATGCCAGGCACACCCCTGGCCTTGGTAGGCAGGGCGGTGGAGGATGAACAGCCACCCCTGTAAAATGCCCCTGCCCTCTTCTATGGGACAGAGGTGAGGCCAGAGACTTCCCTGAAATCCTGGGACGGCAGCAGGTTGGGGAAAAGCTGGTCACCTGGAGAGCCCTGTGTGTGGGCACCTGACACCCAGGATGGGGCCGCATGAAAGTGCCCGAGGCTGCGGACTTCCTGCTGGGGGATGGAATATTATGGCCACAGTCCCGGGATGCAGGGGAAAGTGGGAGCCAGAATTGTGTCCCTGCTGCTCCCTGAGGCCTGGGCCTTCCCTGCCCAGGAGCAGCTGCCAGCTGGGACTTTCTGGTAGGAGGATGGAGGAGAGGACTCCCAAACTATGGAGCTCCAGTTGTACACTTCCAAAAGATAGAACTGGGGTCAAGGAGGAGACAGAGGCAAACTGTCAAAATAATTGAAAGTTGTGTGTGTGTGTGTGTGTGTGTGTGTGTGTTTAGTGCCTGGGATGGAACCCAGGACCTCAAACATGCTGAGCAAGCACTCTGCCACAGAGCTACACTCCCAGCCTCCAGGGCACGGTTTTAAGGCCCAGCTGGCTTCAGGTGCCGACATATCTTTGTGTGCCTTACATAGGCAGGTGAACTCATAACTGAAATCATATGGATTAAGTGCAGAGAAGTTGCCTTGCCCAGTGTACCCACTCCTACAGAAGCGTTGGATCTTGCTAAGCTCTCCCGAGGGAAATAATTCCTGGATCAATCCCACCCTCCCCAAGACAGGCCCTGGCATGTGTTTCTCACTCTCTGCCCCTTGCCTGCAGCTCTCAGCTCCTGTGACCCTTGCACTGTTTCCCTCTGCACCCAGAAGCCACCTGGGTTTTTTTTTACCCAGAGTGACTTAAATCCGTATTGCAGTTCCTGGCCAAGCTGACTCTCAACCGAGTCCCAAGATCCTCAGTTCCCAAGTGATAATAACTTCCGGCTTGTGGACTGCTGTGAGGAAGGGAAGAGGGTCCCTGGCAGGTACAGCGTCCCCTGCCACTTGCACCTCCCATCCCGGTCCTGTGTTGTTGCTCCCAAGCTTTGTGACCCTAGCTCCCACTCCTGCCTGCTCAGGGTCACCAAGTGGCTGATGAAAACCCACGGCAGTCTCCCCTAGAGTCTCAGATACAGCGGGTCTGCTGCGGGCCTGGGAATTTCCACTGCTAGCACATTCCCAGTTGGTCCTGGGACCACACTTGCAGAGCTTGAAGATATTCTGTGATTATTTCTCTCAACTTTTGGGATGCACTGTGTGATCTTCCCTGCCTTCTAATTTGTTTCACTAGTGATGTTTACAAAAGCTGAGAAGAGAATGGGTCTCCCTTTCTTGAACTCAGCAGCAGCTCCAAGAAAGGGCCAAGGACAGTGGGAAGTCAGGGTAGGAAGCGGAAGGGACCAAGGATGAATGGGTGTGCGCTGCTGTGTGATCAGTGGAGGGCTGGCAGGTGACCCCTGTCCCCCATTGTACTGTGGAGAGCGAGTGTGTGCAGGCTGTGAGGAGGAGCCCTCTCCTGGCCGGAAGGGGTGGCGCAGAGCAGGTATTCTTTGCTGTGAGGCAGTCATGGGGTGTGTGTGTGAGATCATGTGGGCCGACCCCACCTGCCCAAGAAGAGTAGATGCCTTTAGGTGTATCTGCCGCACACCCTTGGTGTAGACAGCTTGCAAAATTGGCTTTGTTGGGCTCCAAGGACCCTCCTCATGTGCCCTGTTCTTTTCTCTGCTCCCTTCCAGAATCCCAGGTTCCCAGGCAACCTTCAGATGAGTGATCGACAGCTGGACGAGGCTGGAGAAAGTGACGTTAACAACTTGTAAGCAGTGACTTACATGCTCTGGACCCAGTGAGGGAGAAACTTAGAGGGAGGGCCTGATGGCCAGGGCAGAGGCTGGATGGGAACAAAAGTCCCTAGGTGACGTGGGCATGGGCCACTTAGTGCAGATGCCACATCCAGAGCCTCTACCCGGCCACCTCACAGCCCAGGATCCCCTCTGTGTGATGATCCACTCCCAACCCAGCGCCGGCACCATCCTCCCTACCTTTGCCATGTCACAGTGGACTCTGTCCTTCTTGGTCTTCTAGTGGCCTTAACTCCCATGAGGTGGGGAGCGCTGGAGCTGGGAGGTGCATCTGCACACACGTACTTGTGCTCGTGTGTGTACATGAAGGGGGAGGGCAGGGCAGGTGAAAGGCAGGTGAGCAGCATGAACAAGGTCCTGCCTGTGATCACCAGCCACACACACCCAAACAGCTGCACCAGCCTTGGGCCGGGGGGAGGCCGTTGACGCTGTCTCTTCTCGGCTCCAGTTTCCAGCTCACAGTGGAGATGTTTGACTACCTGGAGTGTGAACTGAACCTCTTCCAAACTGGTGAGTCTTCCCTCCCATTGCCTGGTCCCCAGCTGGGTCCCCACCTGGCACAGCCGGCCCAGCCCTCACCCCGCTGCGGCTGTGCCTGTGAGAGTGAGGCTGTGCACACCTGTCTCTGCTGCCTTATCCTCGTGCCAGGAGAGGCAGCAGCTTGGCGTATTTTCAAAGCCGGTAGTTTCACAGCCGACAGGAAGGTCCTGCTGGCCTCCCTCCTGAGGCCCGGATCTCTGAGATCCCACAGATAGCTCTCACCTCTGACAGCTGCAGCCTGTGACCGCAGCCCTCCAACTTCAGGTTTCTGCTCAGAATGCGTGGCTTGTGTCTGCTGCTTAGTTGGCTGCTGGGTCCTCAGGTCGCCCATGGAGCCCTGCTGTGCTGGCAGGGGCAGCTTCCACCCTGCTGGGCTCCCTTCTGCTGAGGTTTCAGGTGCTTTGTGACACTTAGCAGCTAACACTTCCTGACCAGCCTCAGTCCCTCCCTTTTCTGCAGTGTCTCTTCCCCTTACCTCCCAGCCAGGCTCCGCTCCTTTCCCTGAGGAACATCGTGGCCCAAGTTCTAAGATTCGCGGTGTTTCTAGACAAGGGTCTGACTGGAAGAGAGTTGCACACTGTGAGCGTTCTTGCACATGCTGGGCAGCCTCTTGCTGTGTGCGTGGGTAGGGCCCACTCTTGGGCTTTGGCTCTCTTGTCCTAAGTTGCCATTTCCTTGAGTGTGTTTGGCCATGCGGCAAAAAGCCTCCTGTGAGTGTGTCCTATGGCTGCACTGGTTGAGGCCTGTGACAGCAAGTTCCATAATACTTGATCAATCCAGTTCAGCACAGAATGTGGGCAGAGGAACATCAGAAACAGTGGGAAATTGTGATTTGTGGGGAAAAGAAGGTAGCAGGCTGACAGTGTATTTGAGCAGGACCTTATATACAAGTACGCTGGGTTTGGTGGCTCACACCTGTAATCCCTATACTTAGGAGGCTGAGGCAGGAGGAATTCCATGAATTCAAGGCCAGCTGGGCTACATAAGCTGGTCTTGAACTACCTAGTGAGGCCCTGTGTAATAAATAAATAAATAAATAAATAAATATGCAAGAATCAAATACAGACGGTGTATGGAATGAGCTCAGTCCTTTGACATTCCTGGTCAGGTAAGAGAAGTGGTGTAGATTCTTCCATTGTTCTCTTTTTTATAACTATGTACTTTATACTTTTATTAGTGAGTATTAGTATACAGAATAATACAATTCATTTTGGTATACTGGCACATGCACATAACAAATTTTGCTTATTTTCATCCTCATTAATCTTCCCTCACCACAATCCCCTTTCTTCTTTCTACCTTAACAATTTTTTTTCTTTTTATTGAGTTTATTGGTACAATCTAGTATACAATACAGTTACACTCATTATTGGGATCCTGTACCTTTACATGATAGTCTTGATTCTCATTTTTTCCCCTTGTCCCTGCCCTCCCTTCACCCACTCCTCCCCTCCTCATTTGCAAACACTTTATTTCCATTTTTTCAATATCTCATATTTTTTCCTCTCCCTTATTACCTTTCCCCCACCCTTCCCACTTTCCATACACCTTTAGCCCTTTACTTCCTATTTCACATTATTAATTATCTCATTAGGATCCTTTGTACTATTATAGTTTTTCACACCAAAGAAACTATTCGGTATTTCAGTTAAAGAAATCTCTGTATGAACATTAAAAATAGGGAATCCTAAAATAAAACTAAAAAGGAGAAAAGGCAATAATGTAAGATTAAAATAATCTTTAATTCTGAAGATGAAAATGGTCCCTGAACATATTTAAATTGCTTCTTGCTCTTGTAGTCTTCTTTTTTTTCATTATTTAGAGAATACTTTATTACTTTCTGTAATCACACCCACATAGATATGACCTTACATATTTAATTGAGTGCATTACCCCTGTGCAAATGGAAAAAAAAATAAAATAAAAATTTTTAAAAAATTAACTTTTCTAGACCAATATGGCTGTCAATTTCTGTACAATGCCAACTCAACACAGTAAATTGGGATAACTTTTTCCAAAGTTGACAGCACAGTTAAAGTTTCCAAAAATTCAAATTATATATATGTGTGTGTGTGTGTGTGTATGCATATATATATATATATATATACACACATGCATATATATTTATATAAAAAGACCAATAATAGCCATATGTTATTCATCAATAGCAGCAACAGCTTTTCCAGGTTCTGCAGTCATCTGAACAAAATTATAGACATTCAGCACATTCCATTAAAAAAACAAAAACAAAAAAACAAAGAAAAGAATAATATCCAGAAAACAGCAAAGTTCTGTTGCTGTGGTGGTACCTGGCACCGTTTTTCTTGTTTGTTTGTTTTGTTTTTTAGCATCTTAATCATCATCTGGAAAGAGAACATTCTAGAGTAATATCATTAAAAATAGCTCTGATAAAGCATGGTCACTACTACGTATCATAAAGCAGATACAAGATATTTTACATTCACAGAGGTATGATACAGTACCGTCCTACATCAATAATACTAGAATCAGTTTTTGTTTGAAATTTGCTTTGTCTGCAAATAAGATTGCTACCCCTGCTTTTTTCTGGGTTCCTGTCACATGGAGAATTGTTTTCCATCCTTTCATTTTCAGTCTATGGGCTTCTTTTTGCAAGAGGTATGTTTCTTGTATACAACATATTGTTGGATTTTGCTTCTTATTCCATTCTGCCAATCTGTTTCTCTTGATTGGTGAGTTGAGGCCATTGACATTGCTGGTTATAACTGATATGTACTGACTTATTATTGTCCTGTTTTGGCCTTTGTTGACTCTTTTTACTTTTTACTTCTCCTTTTAGTTTCTTGCCTTGCCTGTTTGATTTGCTCTGTTGGGCCTCATGGTGTTGTTACCTTCGTTGTCTTTTTCTAGGATCTTGTTTAGAATTGCTTGTAGTGCTGGTTTGGTATTAGTGTAGTTTCTCAGGTGTTCTTTGTCTTGGAAGTATCTTAATTCCCCATCCATTTTGAAAGAAAGTTTTGCAGGATACATCAGTCTAGGTTGGAGGTTGTTCTCTTTTAGTACTTGAAATATCTCACTCCAGGCTCTCCTTGCCCTAAGGGTTTGTGTTGAAAAGTCTGCTTTGATTCTGATGGGCTTTCCTTTGCATGTGATTTGTGTCTTTTCTCTTACTGTTTGTAGTATTTTGTTCTTCTGTTGGGTTTCTGGGATCTTGATTATTATATGTCTAGGTGTAGATTTTTTTTTTATTGTGGCTAGTCACAATCTGCCTCACTTATCTGAATGTCAAATTCTTCCCCTCTGTTTGGGTAGTTTTCTGTCATTAATTCTGTGAACAGCTTAAGTCATTTGTATTTTTTCCTGCTACTTCATGGATTCCTATCAGTCTTATGTTATTCTTTGCATCATCTAAGAGTTGCTGGATTGATTTCTCATGATCTCCTACTGTTTTTAAGAGACCTCTCTTTTCACGGTCAATGACTGCAATCTTATCTTCTATATCTGAGATTCTATCTTCACATTCTTTTATTCTGTTGCGTACACTTTCAATGGAATGTTTAATCTCCTGGATATCTGTTTGAATCTGTTTTATGGATTCCATTTCTTTCCTATGTTGGACATTTATTGTTTCCATTTCTTTCTTATGCTGGGCCTTCATGGCTTCTATCGTCGTGCTGAGCTCATCTATTTTTTTGTCAGTTTCTGTTCTAGAGTCTCGAATCACAACTTTCATTTTGCTCACCATCTCTATGGTTATCTGGGAAATTATTTCTGTTTTGAGTTTTTCTAGAGCCTGACTGATCTGTTTTGTTACTTCCTGTGCTTTGAGTTCAGGGTGTCCTGGTGGTTCACTGTCAGCCTTTTCATCCTCATTTGCCCTACTATTTGCCATTGGTGAGCTGGAAGTCTGTCTTTGTGTCTTGCTTAAGTGTTTTCACATTTTTATTTTTGTTGTTGGACTGTCCTTGGTTTAATCTCTGGGTTATCACCCAAATCTTCCTGATATAGTTGCTTCTGAGTCTCTAACGACCCACAGACATTCTCATCTTCATAACATCAGAGAAAAAAGCTCATCGAATCAACCACAATCCTTTATTCCAACTGATACAATCAGCAACACATTATGATGAAGCACAACTTGGAAACTGACCACCTGTGGTAGTCACTAATCTATCACCCTTAAAACATTTGAGTTAAATTGAAATCAAGAAGCCATCCAGAACATGTCTGCAGTGAACTAACTTTTCAATATAATATATTTACCATTTAATGGCTCAGAGCTAGGATGCAAGACCCCTGATCTCAGTTAGCTGATGGCTGAACCCCATGACGCAGACTGACCTCGGGCTGCAAGGCCCAGATTGAGTTCCCCAACCTCCTGAACTGTTGAACTCCACACCGTTTTACTACAGGTTTCTCACACCCTTTCTTTAAAGATGTTCAAAGTTGGGAACTCAGAAAAATACCCTTTATGACAACCTCTGCCTCTGCAGAGTGGATCCAAAGACTGGCTCAATCAGAAGGTCTGTGAGTGTGTGTGGGGTTGGGGGGAAGTTATGGGGGTTCAGGGGTGCCCACGCAGCTACCTTCCTGGCGCTCCAGCAATGGCGGCTCTGGTGGGAGAAGGCATGGCTCTCCTTCCCGCAGTGGATTGGGGCCCAGGCTCCCATTGTTCTTTTTAATGTATTGGAAGTACTTCCATTAAAATATATGAGCAAAGGCCAAGGCTGGGGGGTGCACGCCTATAGTCCCAGCACTCAGAAAGCTGAGGCAGGAGGATTGCAAAGACTTCAAGGCCACCCTTGGCTATGTAGTGAATTCAAGGCCAGCCTGAACTACATAGCAAGACCCTGTGTCAAAAAGAAAGAAAGAAAGAAAAAAAATATACAAACAAAACTAGGCACAGTGGCACATACTTGAATCCTAGCACTTGAGAGGCTGAGACAGACGAATTGCAAGTTTGAGTCCCACATAGGTAACTGAGCAAGACCTTGTCTCAAAATACTATAAGAGAATAAAAAGAGTAGGTATGTAGCTCAGCACCAAGGCCCTAGGTTCAATCCCCAATACCTCCCCAAAAAAACATGAACAAAGGCTAGGAATATAGCGTGGCCATAGGTGGGCCGCTTGACTTACAATGAATGGACTTAGGGTTTTCCAGCTTTTGAGATGGTACAAAGCACACCTAGGCAATCACCCTGTTTGCAGTTTCTATTCTCAGTGTTGAGTGAAGTACACAAGCTAGTCAGCATTTTATATAAAACGGGCTTTGGTTGGATGATTTTGCCCAAGTAGACTAATATGAAAGTGACCCACACACTCAAGGTAGACCTGGCTGAGCTGAGACCCAGAGGTTACATGTATTAAGTGCCTGTTTTTATCACTATATTTTATTTTTGATGGAGTTAGTGAGACACAACCCCATCCTAAATTGAGCAACATCTGTATTTTAAGTTGATTACAATGAAATCACTCATAAAAGAAAAATATTAGCTGGGCACAGTGGCACACGCCTGTAATCCCCACTACTCAGGAGGCTACGGCAGGAGGATTGTAAGTGCAGCCTGGGAAACTTAGCAAGTCTTCATCTCAGAATAAAAATAAAAATCACTGTGGGTGCAGCTCGGTGTTAGAACACTTGCCTAGCATGTGTGAGGCCCTGAATTCAATCCCAGTACCAGGGGTGGGGAAAAGTCAGGTCATCAGTTGCACCAGCCATATTTCTGGCGGGCACATACCAAGAACATTTCCATCGTCACAGGAATCCGTCTGGCAGATTCTGATTTGTGCTAAAGCCTGACAGCCGCTGAGCTAGTGAAGTCTTCAGCCCTGGTTGCATATTAGAATCACCGCAGGGCCTTTGGCAAACTACCAAGGCCTCCACCCTACCCGGGCAATTCAAACACAGTGGAGGTACGAGAAGTCGCAGGTGGACATCAGGGGCTCTTCTGTGGTCCTAAGGAACCTCGAGGCCAGAAAGCTCTGCACAGCATTCTGCACTCCACACAACAATGACAACATTCTCACTGTTCTCACAAGAGTGACGTGCATGCTCCTGTGATCACAGGCCAGGAGAGACTGAGTGACTTGACAGCAGCACCCTGCTCTAGAGGGTTCCGGGTGCCGAGGGACATCCCTGGGAGGCTTTGGAAAAGCAGAGCAGCCAGGAGATGGAGCGGGCTGTGGTTCCTTGCCAGGTTGGAGCCTGAGGAAGCCAGGAGACACGAATGGCTGCCTCGCAGTGACAGCTGCTCTTAATTTGTCTTAGGAAGAAAAGCTGCCTTTTAATTAGAACTGTTTGGGATTTTTTTTTTTCAGCTGCCAGACTAACCCTGTTACCAGGATTCTCGCCGGCTGCGGAGGCAGAGTACATGGGCTTCCCTCCCGGCTGCTCTACCCTCAGGGGCCCTCAGGGAAAGTCGTGTCATTGCCTTCCGTGCACAGAGTCCATGGGAACAGTGGGCAGCTGGTACAAGGACAATCAGCCCAGCCGGGGCCAGGCATCTCTGGCGGGGGCTGAGTTTGGAGGAATTGCAGGAGCAGCAGGAGCGTAAAAAGCAGCATTTCTCCTGATGGCTCCCCCGGGGCCTGGCTCAGCCTTAGATCCCAGCGGGTCATCTCGCAAGCCCCTTTCCTTGGCCCTCATGGGCTCTCCAGCTGTCACCCAGCGCTCCTGTATGTGTCCCCACTTTGAGTGTCCCAAGACCCGAGTGGCAAGCCACCAGTTAGCCACGGCTGGGTTGACTGATTCTCTGATCAATGTCTGATGCTCTCCCCACATATGAACTACTACGTTTGGCAAATTTGGTGTTTCCAAAGATGAGGGGTTACCGTGCTTCCGTGCACGGACTCAAAATAGTCAAAGTGGACTCTGTTAGACCAGGCTCGGTCAGCAGGGCTCCGAGTCGCATAGCTTCTTCCCTCCCTGAAAGTTTGGCTGAAGGCTGTCCTTCAACAGTAATCCATCTCCCCTTTAGATCGGAAATGCTCAGTGGTGTGTTGGGTCCTAGGATGGAGACTAGGAAGCTTCTCAGAGATAGGAGGGAAGGAAATCTGCTGGAGTAGGCAAGCAAATCTCTTCTTCCCTGGGCGGTCGTGGGCTGTGCAGAGAGTAGAACCTTGCCCACCTGTTCTCGAAACACTGAGCTTCTGGCTTTGTGACTGCCTTCGAGTGACTTAGGTTCCATTTTTACCCCTGTATAGTGGGGATACGTTTCCTGTCTCTGGGGGTTGTAAGGGATCAATGACTTAGGCCAGGTAATGCACGCACAGGGTGTGTGCACCCGATGTACCCGGGCCCCACCTCTGCACAGCTCCCTATAACTGCCTTGTCCTATTGCTTTTCTCCCCGTTTCGTTTCCCAGTGTTCAACTCCTTGGACATGTCCCGTTCCGTGTCAGTGACGACAGCCGGGCAGTGCCGCCTCGCCCCGCTGATCCAGGTCATCCTGGACTGCAGCCATCTCTATGACTACACCGTCAAGCTTCTCTTCAAACTCCACTCCTGTGAGTATGCAGGCTGCAGCCTCTTCATGCGCCTTGGGCCTGGAGGTTGGTGGGGGGAGGTGTCCCTGGAGCAGTGCAGCCCCATTCAGGGCCCTGGGCTTTCTGCTTCGGATTCAAAAGGCCCTGGAGCTCCTGGCCATTGTGACAGCAGGACCCCAGCTTTGGTGTCTCCCGGGTGGACCTCTCTCCTCCTCCATGCAAAGGTCTGGTCTAGACTTACATGAGCTAAGGCAGCAAGCACTCTCCAAACCACCCTTTTATACAGATGGAATTTTATGCAGAAATAGAAAGTGTGGAGCTGCTCGAGTAAATGGAGGGCTGTCCTGTCTCTCTGCAGGTCCCTAATGATCGTATAGAGTTTTCTATAGTTTTCCATGCTTCCTGTTTACAATGATGTGTCTGAGCTAGACTCACTGCTTCAGGAAGTGTCTAGTAGGATCTGTGTATATGCACATGGCCATATAACTCTGATGAAAGTGGCACTTGGGCCTCACTCCATGGCGGCCACCATGAAGGGTGTATGCAGCAGAGATGTGCATGGTGTGTGATGGGAAACCAGGAAAAATCAAGACTGGAATGGATACAGCCAAGGGCTTAAAGCACAGGAGGGAAACGGTTGTGCTTTATGAGTGTGGGACGTGGGATCCTCCACAGCTGTGGTCACTGGCGAGTGGTGAACCTGGGTGTCCGAGCAGACAAGGGGAGCAGCAGCTGACAGATCCAGGGGAGTTTCAAGGCGGGAAGCTGGGGATTGGCCATTTAGTCAGGGCACCTGGAGGGAGTGGAGAGGGCTGGGCCAAATCCCAAGAGGAAGGAGGCCTTTCTACGATGCTTCATTGTAGCTGTTGCACAGACTGGCACTAGTTTCCTGCAAGGTGATGAGTTTTGAGAAGAGGCAAATAATTACTTGGATTTATAAGCCTTCCCTAAAAGCAGGGGAATCCATGAATCTCACACTGCCAGCCTCTGGACAGGGGACTGTGCGGCCGGGAGAGGGGAGGGAACACCAGCCAGTACAGGTTAAGTGTTCCTCATCCAAAAGGCTTGTGATACAGAGGGTTTCAGATTTTGGAATTTCTGAGTTCAGAATGTTTGCATAGACGTCTCCAGTTTATGTCCTTAATCCAAAAATCCAAAGGCTTAATAAGGTGTGGATTTCAGAGACAGGCACAGTGGTACACTCTTACAATGCCCTCTGGGAGGCTGAGGCAGGAGGACTGCGCATTTGAGACTAGGCTGATCAACTCTGCAAGACCCTGTCTAAAAATAAAAAGTCAAAAGGAGCTAGGGATGTAGTCAGTCCCCAGTATAGCAAAAATAAATGGATAAATAAAAGCAGAGTTGTGATCCACAGCTGACATACACAGACTGCCAGAATTAGGCGGGAAAGGGAGCTCGGTACTGACTGTAGCAGGGGCCAGCCCTGAGAGGCCAGTGCTTGTGCTGCATGACAGAGTTAGCTAACGACCACGTCCTGGAACCTGAAGCACCCGTCATACCCAGGAGAGGCCCCTGGGCTACCTACCCCCAGGCCCGAACCCATCTGTCCTGCATAATGTCGGGTCACCCCCACTTCTATGGCACAACCTCTACCCACTGGGCCAGAACGGCCCCTCCTCCAGCAGCACGCTGAAGCCGGATGATGGGCGCTTGAGTGTCCCCTGCTCTCGCCCCACACCCTGGGCTACCAGACCTCAGGGCAGCTCAGGCCCACGGCAGCTGGCCCCTCTCTGCAGCCCCACTTCCTCCCGTCTCACACCCTTTCCACTTCCTCCCAGGTCTCCCAGCTGACACCCTGCAAGGCCACCGGGACCGCTTCATGGAGCAGTTCACGAAGTAAGCGGCTCAAGTGATGGGAACGAGGGGGCAATGAAAACACATTGTAAAATCGGTTCATCCACACAAGGGTGTATGTCTTGAAACCCTGAGGGGTGGCAGTATCTATATTTTGAGGTGATAATACAATGAAAAATGGCTGGACAGCAGTAAACCTACCCAGTGGCCGGGAAGTTACTGGGTCTCTGCGAAATCCCGTTTAAGGTTGGAGGAGAGAGATGTCACCTGTCACACGTGACCTGCTTCGTATCAGGACATCCTCTTCTCTGTGTCCTTTTCCTGAATTCCCTGGTCTGATACCATTTGCAGGCCGACAGATCCTGAGTACGCATCTCCACCTTCTCAGTTCCAGTCTCACTTACCCATTTGGACGCCCGTACGCAAGATTTAAGTCCCAAACTGAACTCTAGGTTTCCCCAGTGAACCATTTTCCTCCTAGTCTTTTCTGTTTCCATAAACACAGCTGCCATCCGTTCAGGCCAGAGATCTAAGGCACCTGCCCCATGTCCAGTCTCTCCCCAGATTCTATCGATGCCCTAGAAGTACACATCTTGCTCTGTCCACATTTCCGTCATTCAGCTACCTTTCCTGCCCGCCAGGGCCTTCCAGTACTTTCTGCTCCCTCCTCTGCAGTGCTCTTCCAGCCCGGCCATGTGTTGGTCATCTTGTGTCACCCCAGAAAGGCAATCTGAGGCCCCCGTAGTCATCACATTGTTTTGTTGTTGCTGTTTTTGGTTTTCTGGTACGGGGCATCGAACTCGGGACCTTGCACTTGCGAGCAGGCGTGGTGCCACTGAGCTATGTCCCCGGCCCCAGTTGAGTTGCGCTTGTGTTCGCTCTCTCCTGTTCCTCCAGTCCCACCGCGCCTCATGTCCTCAAGCACCCTGTTTGTTTCCCTCATGAATTTTTAGCACAGTTTTAGTTTTGTTTGACTGTTATGTCCATTACTATGTCCGCTGCATCTGACAAACAGTGGTCAGTGAGGTGTACGGTGCCTGATAAGCGCTGGAATGAGCCAGTGCGCTCATAAGCCAGCTCGGTAGCCTAGGAGAGACAGAGCCTGTCGGACTGAGAGCGAATCATGCCGGTGCTTTTAGGGGGAGACATGAATGACCAGATAAGAAGCGTGGCTCCTCCCTAGGGTAAGTGTCTGAGAAGAGGGCAGGAATGGAGCAGGGAGCCTCAGAGACCATCGTGACTTGGCTCTGTGGATAAATGTTGGCACTCTGGTTTCTCCCATTAATTTCTTCATTCTTAACCATGGCTCTTCAACCCTGAGGCGCCATCAGAGCAGCAGCTCAGGTTGAACGAGCCTCGCACTGCCTTGTTCCATCAGGGAACCCTGGTACATAGTCAATAATAAATGACTTACTAAATCCTAGGAGACAGGCCCTGGGGCTGCTTTCCTGGAATGTGAAATTCCGGTAGCTTGCAAAAGCGGCAGGGCCTATTACTCTTGGCTCACGCCCTGGGAGACGGGATGTGTGGTCAGCTGGATTTCTTCCCTTTGGTTTTTTTCTAGCGTATGAAAACATCTCCTGTGAGTAACTGCCTAGCTCTTCCTGCCACACAGAAGTGGCTGCTCTCTGAGGCCTCACTATCCTTGAATTGAGAGAAAGCAGCAGTGACATAGTGGGGACATAACTAAGTGTTGGCCTTGGTCTTGGGATCTGAGAGGCTGTGATGAGATCCCAGGGGCTTAGCTCGTGAGGCTGAGTGAGAGAAAAGTTGGTATTGCTGCTGTTGGGATCCATAATCCTCTTCATCTCAGAATATATCCCTCTGGGTATGCTCACTTTTCTTGGTCTTCAGTGGTTTGAAGAGATATCAGGGAATGAGAAAAAAGTGTTGTCTGGGGGCCTGGGAGTATTGCTTATGTCAGTAGGAGAGTGCTTGCCTAGCATACTCAAAGTCCTGGATCCAATCTCCAGCACCAAAAAAAAAAGTTGATATTTTTCATAGCTGTATTCATCTAAGATTAGGGCTCAGTATAGACAGGTCGTTCTTCCCTAACAAGCAGCATCTCTGTGTCTGGTTCTTTGGTAAGCAGAATCTCACAGGGTTCAGTTCCTGCCTTCTAGAAACATCTGGTTTAATAGGGAGATAATGTATAGTTTAAAAGCCAGGTGGATTCACAAGAAGAGATCTCCCTTGATAATTAAGCTCCCTTCCCTTTTCTGGTGGCTTATCTTCTGAGAAAGTCAGTTTCTTTGGCTGTGACTCTAAGCCAGGCTTGCATAGGAAGACAAGTCTGCCAGACATCCACATGTGTTCCAGGGCTGTGAGACATTTGTGTTGGGATCATGAGTTACTCTTTCCTTGCCTCTGGGTAACAGGACTGGCTGTAAAGGACCCTTGTCTGTAATATCATAATTGAATTCCAGTGCCATGGAGGACATCACCTGTGACTTTGGGGTGACAAAGCTGGGGGTGGGCTGTCCCCTCCTTGGGGCTGCCAAAGACACCCAGCACCCTGAGGCCCCTTTCCACCCACAGGCTGAAGGATCTGTTCCATCGCTCTAGCAACCTCCAATACTTCAAGCGACTCATTCAGATCCCCCAGCTGCCTGAGGTGAGTGTGCTCAGTCACACCCAGGCACTGCAGGGTTCCCAGCTCCTCTCTTGAAGGCTGGTGGGGCCTGGCAGGTGAGCACTGGCTCAGAATATCTCCCCTCCTCAGAACCCCCCCAACTTCCTGCGGGCCTCAGCCCTGTCGGAACACATCAGCCCTGTGGTGGTCATCCCGGCAGAGGCCTCGTCCCCTGACAGTGAGCCAGTCTTGGAGAAGGATGACCTCATGGACATGGATGCCTCCCAGCAGGTGAGAACCCTTGGGAGAGGAACATGCCCTTCCCATTGCCCCAAGTGCAAGGAAGAGGATGGGAGAGGCCTAGCCCAGGTGCACTGACTTTGACCAGGGTCAGCCTCCCCCAGCCCTTTTTTTGTGGGTCTCCCTGCATTGTCTAGGCTGGCCTAAAGCTACTGGGCTCAGATGATCTGCCTGCCTCGGCCTTTGACATAGCTGGGGTGACAGATGCACACCTCTGAACCTAGACTGAAAACGACTCTGGTTTTCAAATGAGTCACAAATGGGTCTGCACCAAATCAAGAAAGGGACCATTCCTACATGTTGCTCCACTGACCTCATGTAGAATTTTCTGTGTCTCTGACTTGCTCTCCCTCCTTTCTGGTCACTGCAGAATTTATTTGATAACAAGTTTGATGACATCTTTGGCAGCTCATTCAGCAGTGATCCCTTCAATTTCAACAGTCAAAATGGTGTGAACAAGGATGAAAAGTGAGTCCAACATGGTGCAGAAATTAAGTTAACATACTCACAGTGAGGCCGTAATTCTGATGTTTCACTGATGGGCAGCTTGGACCACTGATGGTACATGTGTGACTGTCTCATCAGTTGACTGTTAGTTTGATTAGTAAAAGATTGATCAAAATGATTAGATCCATTTGGATGCAAGCCGTCCTATGGGACAGTCATGCGTGTACCACCAGTGGTTCAGACCAGCAGGAACATGTCATGCCACGGTCTGCCTCATAACACTTCCGTAAGAGAAATTCTTAACACTCAATAGAGTGTCTTTTCCTCAAATATTAGCCCCTTTATTCCCAGAGGATCAGTAACTGTGACAGACCTGTGGGTATTAGATTAGGTAATAAACAATGGTCCCTCCATATCTAAAGGGGGCTGGATCCAGAACCCTAAGTCCCTATATAAAGTTGGATTCTGCTTGCATAGAACCTTCACTTATCCTCCTCCCAAATACTTTAGATCATCCCTAGGTGACTTATAATATCTAACACGATGCTAATGCTGTATAAATCGTTGTTACGCCGTGTTACACTTTTCCCAAATATTTCCAGTCTGCAGTTGGCTGAATCCACAGACACAGAATCTGCAGATATGGAGGGTTGTCTGTATAATTTATAGGGTTGAAGAATTGTCCCCAAATGAACACCAGCTTTTAACTTCCTCTCCCAGTCTGCCAGCTCACATTTAGAAGGACAGCACACAGGAGAAGTGAATGCACTCTCCTTCTCTCCCACAGGGACCACCTGATCGAGCGACTGTACAGAGAGATCAGCGGGCTGAGAGCCCAGCTGGAGAGCATGAAGACTGAGGTGCGTGCTGGGCTCTCACCTGCTTTCGGGCTTCACTGACATGTGATAGGTTTTAACATTCTAGTTGTGACTTGTAGATTCAGAGTGAACCATGACTGGGGCAGGTTAATTAGTAGAAACACCGAAGCCAAAAGAACCTCCCATGGTCTCCATGAGAGACCAGGACAGGTGCCTTTGGACAGCAGCCAAGCTGGGTGCCAGTGTCCCTGGTAGCCATGATCACTACCTGCCCCGGAGCATGCTGCCGAAGACCTGTTCTTCCACCTCAGCCTTACGAAGAGTTTTAGTTTGGGACTCTGGTAGCTATTTGTTGCCTCTGGTTTTCTGTATGATGTGTGACTGAAAAATATAGTGATTTTTTTTTCTTTTTAATTTATATAATAAAAGACACATTGCCACGAATCCTCCTCAGAATCCTCTCCCTCGCTTTGAACACATCCGCCCCATCATTCTTGCCACTTTCTGAAGTAATTCTTTTCTGTGGTCATTTTGACTTTGAGAAAGAGCCAGAGTCACATGGTGCCAGATCTGGTGAATAAGGTGGAGGAAGATGCAGATTTTACAAGCCTGCCTTTGCATTAGGTGGCATTAGGCAGCAACATGCACCTCATAAAGACACAAAAGAAGATTTTCAGAGCTGTTCCACAAAGTGGCAAGAATGGTCAGATGAGCAAGTTTAAAGCAAGGGGAATTAATGGCAATGTGTCTCTGACTATAATAATTTTTAAAAATTTTTAAACATTAACCATATATTTTGATTACACTTCATATATGCCTGTGCCTCAAAGCCATGGCTGGTCAGAGGACTTGAGCCACAAGGCCAGGCCCAGCATCCTCTCTTGCCTCCTCCCCACTCAGCCCAGTGCTACCCCTAGGTAACTAGGACCAGAATTCCTCTGCCACCAGCCCCTGTTGGTGGTGAGTGGGTGACTTGAAATAGCCAGAAGCCTCAACTCCAGTGAGACCTTGGGAGCTGGCTGATGAGAGAAACCTTATTTATAGCCATCCCATGGCATCTACAGGGGATTGGTTCCAGGGCACACTGTAGATACTCAAAACCCAAGTATACTCAAGTCCTTTATCTGCTGTGGTGTGCCATTTGCCTAGAACCTGCATAGATACCTAATATGATGTGGTTGGTTGGTCCATGGGTAACGAACCCAGGGAGAGCGAGGCTACCTGTATTTGGTCCATGCTGGAGACATGGGAGGACTTGTCTTGCTTGACACTCCCGTCCAGGGCTGGTGGTGACAGAACACTCACCTGAGTCCCTCCCACAGAGCCAGCGGGCTGTGTTGCAGCTGAAGGGCCGCGTGAGTGAGCTGGAGGCTGAGCTGGCCGAGCAGCAGCACCTGGGGCGGCAGGCAGCTGATGACTGCGATTTCCTCCGGGCAGAGCTGGATGAACTCAAGAAGCAACGGGAAGACACGGAGAAGGCACAGCGGAGCCTGACAGAGATAGAGAGTGAGAGGGGTTCGGGGCTGGGCCTGAGGGCAGGGTCTGGGCAGACTCAGGCCGAGGAAGTGCTGCAGAAATGCCAGCCCATCATTGGCTAGAGGGACAGACTTGAGGGCAGAAATGAGGGAGACGGGAACTACAGAGGTGACAAAGGGGTGGCTGCCCTGGGGCAGGGGACTCCCAAAGAGGAAGGAAGCAGGACGAAGGCCTAAGGAGCAAAATTGAACTAAAGGCCCAAAACCTCAGTGACAGGAGTGTCCTGTACAGAAATTCCAAGGAGATGCAAATCAGAGGAAGGATTTTAGCCAGGTGAATTGTTTTCGTTGTCATTTTTTTAAAGAAGACTTCACAGAGAAGTCTCTGTAAGTAGGAGTTTGGAGGGAGAAGGAGAAGTTTGTGTCCCTACTGGAAGGAGGAGGGTAGAGGGTCCCAGCCAAGGGCAATGCCTCACCTCAGTCCTTGATGATGCAGGGAAGGCCCAGGCCAATGAGCAGCGGTATAGCAAGCTCAAGGAGAAGTACAGCGAGCTGGTTCAGAACCATGCTGACCTGCTGCGGAAGGTAGGTCACCTACCTTCCACCCCTTCCACCATCCACCCCTTCCACCATCCTGCACACCCGGTGCCACAGGGGAGATGGCAGCACCCCATTTCTTGGGAACCCCGGCTCCACAAGCCCGTTTGCCTTCTGCATCTTGAGCTCTATCTTAGGTGTCAGCCCTTCTTAGAATCACCCACCATCTTTGTTATTTTTGTAGATACTGCAGTACAGTCTCTGAAGGTCATGGCTGGGTTCTGGCGTTCCTGTGGGTAGGAAAGTGGTTGGTCTGTCTGGCTCCTAGGCACTCACGGTCTGACTGGGGTCATTGGTTCTAGAAGGAAGATGTCCTGTGAGCCTGAGAGACACCAACTCAAGACGCTGTTCTTCCTTACAGAATGCAGAGGTGACCAAACAGGTCTCTGTGGCCAGGCAAGCCCAGGCAGATTTGGAACGAGAGAAAAAAGAGCTTGGAGATGCCTTTGAGCGCATAAGTGACCAGGCCCAGCGGAAGGTGAGGGGACGGAGGAACACTTGGGAGATGGGGTGAAGGTGGCTCTTGGTGGGACTTTGTTGTCTGCTCCACGGGGGCCCTGAGAACAGCAGCAGGACCTGGTCGCAGATGCGTGCACCGTTCAGAGTAGGAAGTAATGACAAGCCCCAAAGGAGTGACATTCATCAGCGGAAAGCTTCCCAAGAACAAGGATTGAGGAAGGGAAAGCAAGAGAGGAATGCATACCTACAAAGATTTGCAGGCCAGAGAACAGTGTCGTGTCGCTGTGGGGTTGGCAGGTGATCCACGAAATGTCGGACGGGAAGACCGAGTGCATGAGACTAGACCTTTGCACTATCTGTGACCCAGAGTAGAATATATATCTACCTCCTGGGAGTAAACATTACACCAATAATATTTACCCTTCCTATTTGATATTTTTGGATAGTTTCTGTTCCATTTAAATGATTTTCTAGTATTAGCTGTGAATTCCTAACGGGTGGTTACCCACTCGAGACTGACCTGGAACTCACTGTGTAGCCCAGGCTGGTCTCGAACTCACACTGATCCTCCTGCCTCAGCCTCCAGAGTACTGGGATTACAGGCATGCACCACCATGCCCCGCAGAAAGAGTTTTTTTCAAGATGGTGAGATGTCACAATATCTAAGTGTTGGGCCAGGTGGGGTGGTGCATGCCTGTGATCCCATCACTCAGGAGGCTGAGTCAGGAGGATCACTGTGAATTTGAGGCCAACTTGGATTACATAGTAAGACTCTGTCTCAAAAAAACAAAACAAACAGTATTATAGTTGTTGGAATGCCTAAATTACAGGCTGAATTCAACGTTAATCCATATTGTGGGCTCTCCCTTGACATTCCCCTTAGCCAGAAGAAAAGGCATTTGGTACGGTCTGGGACATTGCTTCGTTCCGCCCTGCCTCCCAGCTTTTTGTTGAGGTGCGATTTCATACAGCAGAGCAGAGTCTCGCATCAATAGCTTGGGGAACTTTGACTTTGTATCTCCCTTCTGTCACCCCACTTGGAGCCATTCTTTGCTGCTTTTTCAGACCCAGGAACAGCAGGAAGTTCTAGAGAGCTTAAAGCAGGAGCTCACCACCAGCAGGCAGGAGCTGCAGCTCCTCCACAGCAACCTGGAGGCCTCTGCCCAGGTGAGCCCGACCCTCCCTCTTCTCTGGCCCCCAGCATCCTGCCCATGGCTGAGCTGGTCCTGCTGTGAGCACCAGGCAGTGAGAGCAGCGTCACTGGCTGCTCCTTGGTGCCAGGAGGAGGATTTGGACCTCTGGGAGGGAACAGCCTGATTTTCCCAGCGCCTCCTTCCCATGCTGTCGCCATTATAGTCAGAAGCAAAATGCACCGCACAGATCACCGAGCTAGAGAAGGAGCGGGACAGCTTGGCGAGTGCCGCGGCAGGTCGGGAGGAGGAATTGGCAGCCCTTCGAGAGCAGCTGGAGGGCTCCCAGCTCAAACTGGCCAGCACACAGGCAAGTGCAGGACCTCGCTCAGGCTGAGCACCTCAGATATGCCTAGGAGGGTCGGTGGGGGGTGTAACGGGTCAGGCTGTCAGCCCGCTTGCCAGGGTCGCTCCTCGTGCCAGCCAGTGAGCTGGTTCTCTCCTCCTGGGGATGTTTTAGGAGTCTGTGTGCCAGCTCGCCAAGGACCAGCGGAAGGCGCTGCTGCTGCGGTCCAGGAAGGCTGTGGAGCGCATGGTGCAGGAGGCGCTGAGCCAGCTTGAAGAGCCCATGCTCATCAGCTGCGCAGGATCCACAGGTACTGTCCTCCCGGCTGCCTGTCAGCGTCTCTGGAGGCCAGGGCCAATCACATCGGGAGTTGTGGCAGGGCCCAGGCAGCAGGGCTGTCCTTAGGCCCAGGCTGTGAGAACCACTGCTTTCCTCGGTGGGTTACACTGTAAGCAGGACTCTGAAACAACTGTGAGAGCTGGAAAAGGAGGCATGGACAGCTGTGTCTCAATGAGTAGAAAACTAGGCATGGAATCAGGCGGTGGCTGCTCAGAAACTTGAGGCGGGGAGGCAGCATGTTGCATGGCGTGGTGGGAAGAGGAAAAGTCCCCGCCAAAGGATGCACAGGGCCCAGTGTGCATGTAGACAAGGCCTGAGGGTCTGCTGGTGCAGCAGTGTCCCCATCCAGAGTCCAGAGTGCTCCAGCACAAACTTGTGAGGCCCGGGACCCAGCAGAGTCCCAAGCCATCGCACGGAAGGACGAGCAGCAGAGAGGATGTAGATGACAGCTGATTTCTTTACCAAATAGAAGGATCCTGATTTGACAGAGTATCACAGCAGGCCTCAGTGGGGCCACTGTACAGAGACAGTTACGGTGAAAGAGCACGCCAAGTGCCCACCTGGCTCTGGGGATGCCGGGCACTGCAGCCACTGGCCAGTGAGACTTTGAAAAGCAGAGAGCCAGGTTCGGTGCCCACTCCTGTAATTCCAGCACTCAGGAGGCTGAGGCAGGAGGATCCCAAGCTCAAACCCACCCTGGGCAGCTTAGTGAGACCCTGTCTTAAAATAAAATATAAAAAGGGCTGGGAGGTTTAGTGGAGAGAAATGGAAGTAGGAAGCAATTTTTTAAAAAAACCTGTCCTGAGCATTGACCCACACCTATAACCTCAGCACTCTGGTAAACTGAGGCGGGAGGATTGGGAATTTGAGGCCAGCCTGGGCAATTTAGTAGGACCTTATCTCAAAATAAATTTAAAGGGCTGATGCAAAGGCCCTGGGCTTCATCCTCAGCATCCTGCCCCATATGCAATAAACAAGAAAATAAAAATAAATAGGAACACTAATTTGTTTTTGTTTTTTTTTTCTTTTATTGAGTTTATTGGTACATTTTAGGTATACAGTACAATTACATTCATTTTTTGGGATCTTGTACCTTTACATGACAGGTCTTGGTTCTCATTTTTTTTCCCCTTTTCTGTGCCCTCCCTTCATCCCCTTTTCCCCTCCCCATTTACAAACACTTTATTTCCATTTTTTCATTTTGTCATACTTTTTTCTTTTCCCTTATTACCTTTCCTCTACCCTTTCCATTTTCCCTACACCTTTAGCCCTTTTCTTCCTATTTCACATTGTCAATTATCTCATTAGGATCTTATGTACTATTATAGTTTTTCACACCAGAGAAACTATTCGGTATTTACACACGTGTGACTTATTTCACTTAGGAGTATATCCTCAATATGTCTCCATTTTCCTATGAATGAATCTAATTTCTCATTCTTTGTGGCTGAATGGTATTCCATTTTATAGAAAAACCACATCTTGGGCCGGGGATTTAGCTCAGTGGTTCGGTGGCCTGCCTTGCAAGAGCAAGGACCCAAGTTCAATCCCCAGTACCCGCCTCCCCCCAAAAAAAGAAAGAAAGAAAAACCACATCTTCTTTATCCAGTTTCCAACTGATGGGCAAATGGGCTGTTTCCAAGATTTAGCTATTACAAACTGTGCCGCTATAAACATTGGTGTGCATATATTACTGTGGTATGATTCTTTTAATTCTTTTGGAAAGATACCCAGCAGAGGGATGGCTGGGTCAAATGGAACCTCTAGTCCCAGCTCTTTGAGGTATCTCCATATTGATTTCCACAGTGGTTGCACCAGTCTGCACTCCCACCAACAATGGAGAAGGGTTCCTTTCTCCCCACAAGGAAAGCCTAATTTGTATGGACAGCTTCCCATGTGCCAGGGACTGTCCTAGGGGCTCTCACAGACATGTCCTGGCCCAGCTCACCCTCCAGTGTCCCCATGAGGAGGTCCTGTCTCTCTCTCACCTGCTTTCAGACACAGCCACCCTGAGGTCACACAGCCTAGTGAGAGCGGCAGAACCAGGAGCCAGCCCTGGGCCATGTTCTCCCTCTGAGCTGTGTGGTCTCCATGGATCAGTGGGCCACCCAGCAGTGGAAATGACAGGGATCCAGAGCAGACTGTAGGGCAGCCAGAGAGTCAGTTCCAGGCCCAAGAGCAGTGAGACTCAAAGGGCTTTGAAGGAATTTACAGGATTCACGTTTCGGCCAGCATGAGAGGAGAGAGGCAGAACCTGGGCCAGCACCACGTTCTCAGCTCGATGCTAAGGCTGAGGTGGACTCGGCAGTGTGGTTCTTCAATGCAGTGAGAGGGTCCGGTACTTCCCATCAGAAGCAGCGGGGCCAGCACCCTTCCCATCCTTCCCCTGTGTCAGGGCAACTTCTGTGGGGCTGGGCAGCTCGTCTGTCCAGCACTTACCTAGGGAGGGGGACATAGGCCCTGAGAACCCTTGCTCTGACTTCGCCCTGTCTTCCCTCTCACAGATCACCTTCTCTCCAAGGTCAAGTCTGTTTCCAGCTGCATCGAGCAACTGGAAAAGAGTCGGAGCCAATATCTGGCCTGCCCAGAAGGTGAGAAGGTGGAGGGATAGACTGTCGCTACAGGCAGCCAGGCAGGATTCGGGAATGCTGCTGTGTGGGAATAGTGACAGGTTCCTGTGCACCCGGGAAAGGAGTGTGTGACCTTGAAAGCAGCGGGGAAGCGAGGGGTCCGAAAGTAACATCCTCCCCCGGCCTGAGAAATGTTTCTTCGCGCTCCCAACAGATATAGGTGACCTCCTGCACACTGTCACCCTGCTCGGCCACCTGACCAGTGACACCATTGCTCATGGCAGCAGCACCAGCCTCAGGGCCCCACCGGAGCCCGCAGACTGTGAGTGCCGGTGGGCAGGAGCTGCCCTGAAAGCAGGATAAGCAGGGGACCTTTAAATGTCCCATCACCCTGTGTTTCCAGCCCTGACCGAGGCCTGTAAGGAGTACGGCAGGGAAACCCTTGCCTACCTGGCCTGCCTGGAGGAAGAGGCAGCCCTCGAGAATGCGGACAGCACGGCCATGAGGAGCTGCCTGAGCAAGATCAAGGCCATTGGCGAGGTATTTTCTTCTGCACTTAGCACTTGAGGGAGAGCTGGAGAAGCTGACCTCCTGAGGGGCTTCTCGCCCCTGTAATTCACTGGTCATTAATTGGGAAGGTGCTGTGTGGCCAGCACTGGCAAAGGAGGAGATGAGCAGTTTTCTGGAAAGATGTAGTGAATACATCCTGTGTACCAAGAATTGAGTTAGGATAGGAACAGTAATACATGAACCCTATGGGAAAGAAAAATAAGAAAAGCAGCCTTTTTTTTTTTTTTTTTTTTTTTTTTTTTTTTTTTTTTTTTTTGTACCGGGGATCGAATTTGGGTCCTTGCACTTGCAAGGCAGGCGATGGAAATGCTGAGCTAAATCCCCAGCCCAGCCATTTTATAGTCTGGTAAGAGATATAATAGAAATCTATTTTAAGATTTTTTTTTTTTTTGGTACCAGGGACCAAACTCCGGACCCTGTGTTTGTGAGGCAGGTGGCAGCACCACTGAGCTAAATCCCTGGCCCTAAACCTATTTTAAGATTATAATACATAATCTTAATATGGAGGCACATGCCTGCAATCCCAGCTATGTGGGGGGCTAAGACAGAACAATCTTGAGTTTGAGGCCAGCCTGGGCACCTTAGTGGACCCTGTCTCAAAAAAAAAAAAAAAAAAAAAAAAAGAAAGTACAATACAAGGTAACATTTAATTCATTCCTAAAATATGTGGTAGTAAGTCAGGGAAGGAAGATTCCAGGGCCACAGTACAGATTCTGCTCATCTCACATTTGACCTCTTGTTCTCTTTGGGTTTTTTGGCAGGGCTGGAGTCAAACCCCAGGCCTTGTGCTGGGTGAGTGCTCTGCCACTGAACTCTGCCCTTGGCCTTCTCATTTGGACTCATTAGCCTCTCATATATTTTTCTGCCTCTGGCCTCTTCCCTCTGCTCTCTTCCAAAAAACAGAGATGTGCTTGTATTTCTTGTTTGATGACAAAAATCAATGTATGAGGCATGATCACAAAATACAGAGAATATTTACATTTTTTAAATGTATTACAGTAAAAGACATATTACCATGAATCCCTGTCAAAATATTCCTCCTTGCTTCCAACACACTTATCCCATTGTTCTTGCTGCTTTCTGAAGTAGGTCTGGGAGTCCTCTTTTGTGAGTGTCTTTAGTTGCTCTGTCGTGGATGCCTCGATGTCCTGAATTGATTCAAAACATTTTCCTTTCGTGGTCATTTGACTCTGAGGAAGAGCCAGAAGTCACACAGTGCCAGATCCTGTGAAAAAGGCAGAGGAGGACACACTGTCACATTTTTACTTGACAAGAAATTGCTGCAAATGTGTGATAACAAGAGCTGATCACAAAGCACTGTGACTAAATAAAGCTTTTATTATAGTAAAAGACACAATGCCATTACTGTCCATCACAATTGCTCCTCCTTGGCTTGAACACACATCCCATCATTCTGACAATGTGTCTCTTACCGTAATAGGTTTTTAAAATTTTTCTTTTAATGTAAATAGTCACCGTGCTTTTCAGTCACCCTCTGTGTGTAGCTCAGCACACAAGGACATGTCCTGTCTGGCCGTTCGCTCTTGCTGGGCCTTCCTCACTGCTCCCTTCATCTGACAGCGTTGGCAGCTGGCACTGTCAGGCACCTGCTCACCTGTGCTGCCCAGAAGTGAAGACCACACTGCTCCTTGCCTCCCAGGCTCTTTCACAGTCATTGTGCACTTAAAGAACTGGAAGAAAAAGTATGACGAGTGTGACGAGGGAATACTTCAGAATATTACAAAAAGAAACGTAGAACTTTCAAAGATTAAAAATATACAAAGATAATGACTTCGTGTGGAGTTCAACGGGAGATTAAAACAGAGCTGAAGGGGAGATCAGTTACCTGGGTGACAGATCCAAGGGAAGTTATAGGAACTGGAATATGATGGCTAAGGACATGGAGGATAGAATGTCTACTACAAGTTCCATAAGGCCATGTCCTCGTCCCCCCCTAAATAATACATTATTAGTTTTATATGTTACATGTTCCATATAAATGGAATCATATGTAGATATTCTCCTACATCTTGCTTTCTTACTCAGCTGTGTATGAGATTTATCCATAAGAAGACCTCCATTTTCAAAGCTCTGTAATATTCTATTGTGTGAAGATAGCTTAATATATTTGTTCTCTTGATGATGGACATTTGGGTTCTTTCCAGTTTAGGCCATTATGACTGCATCCCCGTGGTCATTCTTGGCCATGGCTCCTGGGATATATGTGTAAACCACTCCCTAGAGTTTGTTCCCAACAATAAAATTACAGGGTTATAGAATGAACCCGATGCATAGAACATAAGGGAGAAAATTAAGTCATAGAAAAAGAAATAAATACAGAAAACCATACACACAGTGTGGTTACTTTTATACAAAGACCTAACCATTCAAACTTAACAATATCTTGTTTAAGGATGCATCCATATAGGGTTAAAAAAAAAAGACAAAGACATGATCATCGCTCTCCTGAATCTGTCTTTATTTTAGGGTGGAGGGTAGTGAGGAGGACAAATAGAATTCAGGCAGGAAACAAAGCGGATTGCAAAGGTAATACATTCAAACAGCAGTGCTTCAGCTCTTCCCAAAGTTGGGCAATATAAAATGAGTCTATTCTTCTTTTTTAATTTTTATTTTTTTAACTTATACCTCATAAAAATATAAACATTGCCTAAAATAGTGGGCTACCAAATAATGCCTCCATACTTTGCATAATGTTGAATAGTCTATTCTTATTTAAACTTTCCTCGGGAAGTATAACATAGTATGTGCTCAACAGTCATGGGCTCTGGCTAGTCAGTGTCACAGGCCTGTAATCTCAGCACTCTGAGAGGCTGAGGCAGGAGGATTGTGAGTTCAATCCCAGCTTGGGCGACTTAGTGATTTAGTGAGACCCTGTCACAAAATTTAAAAAGAGCAGGGTGTAGCTCAGTGCAGAGGCCTTTGTTTAATCCCTGATACTGCAAACAAACAAACACAAACTACATTGATTTATGTCATTTGGCCCTGAGTTCAAATCTCTGCTCTGCCCTTATGTGAGCAGCGTAACTGTGGTCAGTACATTCTCCCTCTCTGAACCTTGGTTTTCCATCTGTCCAACAGGAAGAGGAACTGCTGGGTCTTAACTGGTTGAAAGATATATTTGTGTTTGAGGTTTTAAAATACTTGCATCTAGCAAATAAGTTGTACAAATACAGGGTTAGGGCCTGAGCAGTTGCAGCTGAGTGACCCTGTGGGTTTAGGGCTGGTGGCTTCTTGAGAGGCTCCCACCTCAGCCATCTTATAAGGTTGACTGGTCTGCCAAGTGTCACTGCAGCCTTTGTGGTGTTCTTCATAGGAGCTGCTGCCCAGAGGCCTGGACATCAAGCAGGAGGAGCTGGGGGACCTCGTGGACAAGGAGATGGCCGCCACTTCAGCTGCCATTGAAGCTGCCACAGCCAGGATCGAGGTAGGAGGATCCTGTAGGATCTAAAGTGACACTGTTGCAGAGGCCCTTGAACAGCCTTACCCCGTGGGCACATCTTAGTTGCACATGAAAGCTAAGTGGCCCCTGCAAAAACAACCCACACCCAAACCCACTGCATCCAGGAGGAGCAGAAACCAGGGGGTCCTCGCTGAAGGAAGGCGAGCAGCTTCCCCACGGGTCACAGGCTTTGGTGTCAGACCATCCAGCGTTCCAGTTCCAGACTGACTACTTGTTAGTTGCATGACTTCTATAAGTTCTATTCATTTTGGCTCAGATTTTGATCTGGTTTCTGTAGGATGCCAGTAATCATGATCCTACCCTAAAGGCCTTGAATGGCAGCCCTACCCAATAGTAATGAATCTCAGAAAAAGCTGAGTGGGCAGCTTTGGAAAGGTCCCTACCGCTCCCCTGCCTCTGAGCCATGGTAGCAGTCGCCCTTCTTGGCCTGGGGTGATCGCTGTCAGCACTCTCTGCACTTCCGCCTGGGTGCCTGAAGGTCAGGGCCCTCGCTAATTGCAAAATGACCTTCCACTTGGACAGACAAGAGCCCTGAGCTCTCCTGGACCCTTACAGACTCTGGGTAGAGTCTAGACTTGGGTCTGTCAGCACACACAGCAGGTTGGACCTGGGACGTAGAAGGGCATTGCTGGGTTCCTAGCACAGGTATTACATTTAGAAACCATGATTTTTCTCAACAGGAAATGCTCAGCAAATCCAGAGCTGGAGACACAGGAGTCAAGTTGGAGGTGAATGAAAGGTCAGTCTGAGCCTGGAAGGCATGTTCCTGGGGTTGGCTTATGCCTTGCATCCCCATCAGGGGATTAGAGTAAATCTTAGCAGCTTTGGAGAATTGCAGTGTCAGTGTGGGTAAGCAGTAGCAGGGCTGCATTGTAGGGAAGTGGAGCCCCGGAAGTCGTGGCTGAGCCATTCCTTAGGGGGAGGGTCCCCATCAGTCTTCTCAATCACCAGCCAAGGGTTGTTCCAGCAATCTCGGTACCTTCCTGGCCACTCATTCCCTACCCAGGTTTGGCTTAAAAGTGAAAGAGGGAACTGTCCTGTTTGTTCTCGGTCTCTGCGTCTCAGCCTTGTTTGTTTGTTTGAACAGGATCCTTGGTTCCTGTACCAGCCTAATGCAAGCCATCCAGGTCCTGATTGTGGCCTCAAAAGATCTCCAGAGGGAGATCGTGGAGAGCGGCAGGGTGAGCGAGGTGTGGGCAGGGGAGGGGCGTACAGTGGTCACCTATGGCTTCCCCACAGCTGGTTTTTCCTCTGTCCATTAGGACGAAGCAGGCCCCTGCCAGCTTTGGAGGGCAGCCAGCCACAGGTTTGGGCTCCAGCTCACACACCCCGGGGAGACCAGCTGTGAATCCCCATTTCTTTTGCCAGTGTGGGCCCTCTGAGGAGGAAGAAAGGACTTTGCGAAACTGGGCAGACCTCAGGAACAAGCCCAGTGCTGTCCTTCAGCATCCTTGGGGGATTGGACCCCTGTGGATACTGTAACCTGCAGATGCTTCTGTCCCTCTTACAGAGCAGCACAGAATTTGCATAGAGCCTACACGCATCCTCCCATAAACTTCAGATCACTTCGGGACGATTTCTAATACCTGCTGCAAAGTAAATGCTACAGAAAGACTTGTTACACTGAAGTGTTTCATAAAAAATAACAAGACAAAATCTGTATGTCTTCAGCCGGGGATTTAGTTCAGTGGTGCTGCTGCCTGCCTTGAAAGCACAAGGTCCCGAGTTCAATCCCCAGTACAAAAAAAAATTTTTTGGGGCCAAGTGTGATGGCACAAGCCTGTAATCCCAGTCCTCAAGAGGCCGAGGGTCACTGTGAGTTTGAGGCCAGCCTAAGCTACATAGCAAGACCCTGTAACAATCAATCGATCAATTAAATAAATTTTTTAAAATATATTTTTGCTCCAGGGCTGGTGGCTCACAGATGCAGGTAGCCCATGAAGAAGGAGGGCGAGCTGCATTGACATCCCTGCTGCGTCTCCTACCAGCAGCACAGTGGGTTCATCGTTACTCACACAGAGCTGCTGTCGGGCCTCTTGGCCCTGTGTCACTTCCACCTGTTTCCCCCTCCAATCCAGTGCACAGCTGCAGCCCAGGAGGCCAGGGTCCTGCGTGAGGGCTCAGAGCCCAGAGAGCATCCTAGAAAGAGCAGCCTACCCTTTCTTTAAGAGCCTAGGCTTGTTTCTGGTCCCTACTGTGGACAGGTGGACTGGAGGAGGTTTATCTGCAGATTGTCAGACACTTCCGAAGCATAGACATATTTTTTAAATCATTTTGAAGTCATTTTGAAGAATTATCCACTGTGTACTGTCTTCTTTTGGCAAATCATAGAGTGCAGCTAGGCCTCTTGGGTCATCACTGGCTCATTTTATTCATATAGTCACCGCTCAGGGAGTGGTTCCAGGACCCCCTGCAGATACAAAATCTGCGCATGTTCAAATCCTTGTATAAAATGGTGGTGTTCCCACGTAACCTGTGCACACCCTCTTGTGTACTTTAATTCAGCCGTACTTATACCTGATACAGTATAAACATTAGGGAATAATGACTAGAGAAACTCCATGTTCAGTACAGACATGATTCTCTCCCCTTCTTTTTATGGTGCTGGGGATTGAATACAGGGCCTCATGCGTGCTGGGCAAATGCTTTGCTACTGAACTACACCCTCAGTACCCACCCACCTGCCCCAGTTTTCAATCCATTGTGTTTTTTTTTTTGGTTTTTTGTTTTGTTTTGTTTTGTTTTGAGACAGGGTCTCACTATGTAGTTGAAACTAACCTGGAACTCACTATGTAGCCTAGGTTGGTCTCGAACTCACAGCATCCTCCTGCCTCAGCCTCCCGAGTGCTGGGATTACAGGCGTGCGCCACCACGCCCGGCTTCAATCCATTGTTGATTGAATCTGTGAAATATGTGCAACACTTGAAAACTGAGAGCCAGCTACAGCAATACACAGGCAGTGGGAGTCAGGGAAGCCCCAGATATACTCTTTATTTATTCCCTACATGACCACAGGAAGAATATTTTTGCCTCCCTGAACAATATTTTTTAAATTTTATAAAAAAGATCTCACTTTGTAGATTAGACTGGCCTAGAACTTGCGGTGACCTCCTGCCCAGGCAAGCACCACCGTGCCCAGGGTTAAATCGCAGTTTTCTGTGTAAAATGGGAATGATGATGCTTTCCATCAAAATGGCAGTGAAGACTCTATAGGCTTATATAGAAAAGCATCTGGCTTATCATAGGTACTCTATAAAAGCAGTTGTTTGGCTGGGGATTTAGCTCTGTGGTTCCTCTGCCTGCCTCACAAGCACAAGGTCCGGAGTTCAAGCCCCGGTACCCAAAAAAAAAAAACTCTTCTCACTTCTATAGGGTACCGCGTCCCCTAAGGAATTTTATGCCAAGAACTCTCGGTGGACAGAAGGACTCATCTCAGCCTCCAAAGCTGTGGGCTGGGGAGCCACCATCATGGTGTAAGTGCCTGGATCCAGGGCTTCCTGCCAACCCCCATCCCCAATGCCGTTGATCCATGCCAGAGGATAGCTAAGGGGGAAAAATAAATCATCTGCTGAAGACGAACCATTGACAGGGAAATGAGTGGGACTAAAAGTTTGAAAGGGGCCTGGGTTCTCCCAGGGCTCTACAAGGGTGGGGTAGGCATGCTGTCCTCCCTGTCCAGCCAGGCCCATGGGATGGGCTGGAATAAGGGTACGGCTGCCTGTGACCTTGTCCATCCTCTCTTTTCCTGACCGTCAGGGATGCTGCTGACCTAGCGGTCCAAGGCAGAGGGAAATTTGAGGAGCTGCTCGTGTGTTCCCATGAAATCGCTGCTAGCACAGCCCAGCTTGTGGCTGCATCCAAGGTAAGACCGTGCTGGACTCCCCAGGATGCTGTGAAGCTCAGCAAGGTTAGAGGCTTTGGACAATGGCACTGACCCCAGGGCCAGGGCACTTATCTGTGATCCGGGTAGGTTGGGTCCCAAATTCTGCCCCTTGGGTGTCTCATACTACCCTCTTCTAACAACCTAATATCTGCCAGCAAGAACCCCCTCTCCCCAGCTCACCGCCTGTGTGCCTCATGGCTCTTTGCTTCTGTTGGGGCCTTTGAGGGTCTCTTAAGTAGTAATCCCAGCACCAACGAACACTCAGATAGGATCCAGTTGTCATAGAGAGGAGGCCACCTGGTGATGCTCTGGGAGTCCCTAGAACACGTATTTGCCCGTCCTTGTTAGTCTCCCAGCTTGAACCAGTACCCCAGCTAATTCTGTGCAGAGCTTGTAACCAGAACCTAAAGCTTTCACAGTCCTCCCCCAGTGAGTGTTCTTTATTTGTTTATCTTTTTGTTGCCTTAAATTATCTTTTACAATTGGAACAGTTATCCAAGTAAGTGAGAAAGCTGGAATTTGGGGCCACCAAGCCCACAATCCGGGAAGGATTGTTTAGATTATAGGGATGCCAGAAGAGGCGTCCCCAGGCAGATATTTTTAAGAAATTGATTGATAACAGTGATTCTTATTTGTCAAGAACTGTCAAAGCAACTGTTCAATGCAGTCCTTGCTGCTGCAATTGTTTGACCCTAAATCTGCTTTATCCTGGCAGGTAAAAGCTGATAAGGACAGCCCCAATCTTGCCCGGCTGCAACAGGCCTCTCGGGGAGTGAACCAGGCCACAGCAGGGGTAGTGGCCTCAACTGTTTCCGGCAAATCACAGATTGAGGAGACAGGTAGCCTTCCGGAAGTACCGCTTTTCTTCTCCACCCTGTTTAGCCACTATTTATGTGTTATCCCGTGATCCCAATTTCCTACAGTTCTATTTCTATTTCTTTCTTTCTTCTTTTTTTTTTTTTTGAGACAGGGTCTCACTATGTAGTTGAGACTGACCTGGAACTCACTATGTAGCCCAGGCTGGTCTCGAACTCACCGCGATCCTCCTGCCTCAGCCTCACGAGTGCTGGGGTTACACACGTGCACCACCACACCCAGCCCCCTATAGTTCTATTTCTAAATGCTCTTATTTTTCATCTTTTCACGTGTATACTTATTTTCTCCTAAGGTGGGATACCATATAAGCAAGCCATTTATATTGCTCAAATGACTGGTCCTCAAGTAGATTTTCAAAGAAATAGCTAAGTGGGAAATCTACAACCCATTTGCCCATGGAGAGGGCAAATACTGGTTATCCTCTTCATCCTTCCTTCCTCTGGACCACTCAGTTTCTTCTGTGTACGTGTTGGCACATGGCAGGCCAAGCATTCAGCAAAGCATTTGGCATTTCTTGGAGATCAGCCAGGGACATTATTTGACAAGAACGTCTTTATTTCCATCCTTGCAGACAATATGGACTTCTCAAGCATGACGCTGACCCAGATCAAGCGCCAGGAGATGGATTCCCAGGTGAGAGCCCCATCACCATCTCTGAGTCTAGAGATTTCCTTTGCATAGACATCGGCCCCCAGTGTTATTCCCAGGGAGAGAAGCCAGAGAGAGAGAGAGAGAGAGAGAGAAACCTGGGGTGGGGGGAATGAATACAGATGCTACTAGCCCAAGACTGAATATTAACGATGTTGGAAGACTCAGTGGAAACGGGAGAGGTAATTAGCAAAGTTCAGAATCAGAACTCTTGCCACTGATCTTGGATTGGTTCTTCCAGACATGTTTAGGGATCTCCTAGCAGCCCAAACTTTTGCTTAATGGTCTTTCTGTCACCGGATGCTGGGGTGCCCAGAGGTCCCTTCCAGCTCTTGTGCTGTTCAAAGAATCAGACAGGGCTCCTGGAGAACATTGAGATTTTTACATTTATTAAAGCTAAAAGCAAAGGGGAAAAAATGAGAACCAAGACCTGTCATGTAAAGGTACAAGATCCCATTAATGAATGTAACTGTACTGTGTACCTAAAACGTACCAATAAACTCGATTAAAAAAAAAAAAAAAGCTAAAAGTAGGGAGGAAAGAAGTTTGGGGAAATAAAGCACACCCCACACATATAGAGGACTAGTTCAAGAGAAAACACAGAAGGCCGATGGCCAATAAAGCACACCCCACACATATAGAGGACTAGTTCAAGAGAAAAACACAGAAGGCCGATGGCCACCACCTTTCTACCCCCATTCTGACATCAGATCCAGGCCATCCTGCCACTGTTCTGCCGTGTCCTGGCTGTGACTGACAGACAGGTCATGCCCAATTGCCCAGCCAATTCGCCATGCCTTAATTTCCTACCTCTCCTAATTTTCTCAAAAACTTCTGATACAAAGTGTGTATGACCTTAAGTTGAAAAACAGAAGTTGATCCCCCAAAAAAAGTAATAAAATAAGTAAATAAAAATAAAACTCAATAGTAATTCAAAGGCAATGCCATTTATCTCTCTTCCTCAGTAGAGGTGGGCCATTGCAACACAGGAATCAGTGGGAGTCATAAAAATAAATCAGCTGTCTTTTCATCAGCCTTGGATTAAAATCCAGGTTGGAGTTGTTAAAGCTGTACAGGTGGTTCAGCATCTTTTTAGAAGTCATATGGCCAGATTTCCATGAAATACTGAAGAAAACTAGTCACAGTGGATCATGCCCACAATCCCAACTCCTCAGACAGGAAGACTGCAAGTTTGAGGCCAGCCTGGGCAACTTAGTGAGACCCTGTCTCAAAATAAAAATTCACAAAAAGGCTGAGATGTAGCTTAGTACTACAGCATTTATCTAGCATACCCAAGGACCCTGGGTTCAATCCCCAGTACAACAGCAGCAACAAATTAACAAATCGTAACAGGACTATTGCCTAGTGATCTCAGCCAGTCATTCTTGTCTGTAAACTCCATCTACATGCTGCTAAATACCAAATTCTTTTCCCTGACTCAGATCTTCTCTTTGGGCTCCCTACATATCCAACTGTTTATTGTTTCTACTTGATGGCCAGTAAGCATCTTAAATGGAACATGTCCCAAGCAGGTCCCTGCCTCGTTTTCTCCGTCCTGTAAATGGTGCCACTGCCACCGACCTGGGTGATCTGGGGGTCATCTGTGGTTCCTCTCTTGCAAGCCCTGTCAACTCTGAATCTCCACCTCTGTGAGGCAGCTGACCTGCAACTGTCATGTGCAACTCTCTGCCTCAGTGACCCCAGGCCGGGCAGTGGGAGCACAGCAGTCCTACGGCATATCTGGCTGTGAGTGGATGGTGGGTAGAGGATGGGAAGGCACTGTGCTTGCTTGTCTCCACCCTTCTGTGGCTGTCTCACATTTTCTGTAATGGTACAGTTGAAAAACAAAAAGGAAACCACGCCTGTAGGGCTACTAGTTTACTTCCGCTCTTGAACTGTTCGTTTGTCCTCCATGAGGTATTTTAAAGACATAAAGGATATCATGTTACCTCCCTGCTTCAGTCCTTCCGGTGGCTTCCCCTGGACTAGAATGATAAACCAGACTCCTACCGGCCATGGCTCTCAGAATCATCTCATGGTCCCCTTCTCTCATACCTCACCTGGGACTCTTTCATTCTTCCAGCCTCTCAGGCACATTCCTGCCCCTGGGCCTTTGCACTTGCTCTTGCTTCTGCCTGAATATTCCTCCCCAGTTCTCCAGTCAGCTGTGTTCTTCTGGCCCTTTCACCTTGAAAGTGACTTCCCGAGGGCATCCTTGGCTGGCCACCCTTAGTCTTTATTGTGTCGCCCTGTTACTTCCTTTAGTCTGCAATTATCTTGTTCACTCGTTTCCTCCTCTCTGCACAGTAAACCCTGACTGTAGCTCCGTGTTCGCCTATGTCTCCAGCACCTATAGCCAAGCCTGGGGTACATGATGGGCATTCAGCAAATATTTCTTGAAATAATAAATAAAATTGATGATAAGAAGGGCTGGACAAGAACCACCCTTCTTTAATAAGATTGTTTGTGCCTCTTCCTTTAGCACTAATAACTTAAGAGGTAGCAGAAGCGTAGTTCTCCAGGGGTTTAGGATTGAAGAAGAATCCCAGTTCGATCGGAACCCACTGTATACAGAGTAGGCTAAACCAAGAGCTGTTCCAGATGGCAACTGCCAGAGGCCCAGAAGATGGGCTCGCCTCCCGTGGAGGCCACAGGTGAGCGGGGAAGGAGAGCAGGACAGGAGCGGAGGACGGGGTAAGCTGTGGAAACAGAAGAATGGAAGAAGAAAACAAGTACAGAGGAACACGGCTGTCAAAATAAGGGATCCGAGGGCCGGGGATTTAGCTCAGTGGTTCCACCCGCTGCCTCGCAAGCACACAGGACCAGAGTTTGATCCCCAGTACCAAAAAAATAAATAAATAAAATAAAGGGATCCAAAAGCTGATCAGAGGAAACCTTTGCTTCCTTTCCCGCCAGGTCAGGGTGCTGGAGCTGGAAAATGAGCTACAGAAGGAGCGTCAGAAACTAGGAGAGCTTCGGAAAAAGCACTATGAGCTGGCCGGCGTTGCCGAGGGCTGGGAAGAAGGTGAGCTGCCCCTAAGGACCAGCAGAGTCACGGCGAGGGGAGGCAGCCACATGGCTGGAGTCTCCCCTCTAATGTGGCGAACAGGAAGAGGCCTGACAGCCACTTCCTCCTGCTCTCCTCTTAGCACCTGTTTCCATTTGTAAATAGCCTGTAAGCCTAAAGTTGGGGCAAACTGTAGTGCATTAGAAGCTTTTGCTGCCACTCTTCAAACCCTCAATACCGACTGGCGCACTCCACTCACTCACTGCTGTGTCCTTGCAGGCCACCAGCCTGGCCGGCACCCCAGGAATTTAGTCCCTGGCCAGTGCAGAGTAGTGGTCAGTGCGGGTCTGACATCAAAGGGCAAGTGAATTACAAGTTTCTGTCCAAAGCCAGTGATGGGTGTGATGGCCAAAATATAAAGGCTCAGGAGGCAGAGTGGAACCCCCAGCTCCAAGACAGCTGTCACCTGCGCTCTGTGTGTGCCATTTCTCACGTGTCCACAGCAACCAGCTGGATCACCATCAAGAGTACAGCTTCTTGTTGGAGTTGACCAGTTCCAGAAACCATCCACAGATCTATCGTAGTGATCCCTAGACACTGGAGATGGGTACACCACGGTCGTGGTTGTCCTGTATGTTAGAGCCCAACATGGTGGCAGTGTTGTTGGTTCAAAGAAATGAAACGCCGTGTTGCATGATTTATCGTCTTTTAGGAACAGAAGCATCTCCACCTACGCTGCAGGGATCAGTACCTGAAAAAGAATAGAGGCGAGCTAACGTGCCATGAGTCAGTGTAAGTCCGCATTCCCCATCTGTGTGTGTGTGTCCGGCCTCAGGACAGATCCTTGAGGTCCCAGGGTGGCTGTTGACCAGCTCAACAACACGGCATGACCCTGAGAAGACTCCTTCCTCAGTGAAACCCCCTCTGTTTGAACCCACGATTGGGATTCTCTCCTTGCCTTCCTGGTGCACGTGCAGGCTGCTCTGTGCTGCCCGTGAGTAAGCCTGGGTCCAAACAGGAGGGGGACACAGCTGTCCCACCCAGTTTTATCACACAGCAGTCAGTGACCTGCTTAGAGGGGTCTCGCATCCTGCTGCTGTTGAGAGCTTGGAAAGAAATTATCTTGTGCTTTTTCTGTTCCTTTACCTGCAGTTCTTTCCGTTTCATCATTTGCACAAACTTTCGAGCACCGAGGACTTGTGGCCTCCAAGCCAGGACGCTCCCGGAGTGCAGCCAGGACTGCGGGGGCGTCCCAGCTGAGAACAGCAAGGCAGTTCTCCCCTCTTTCCGCAGTTCCCTGGATTCCCAGTGCTTCTTACAGTGGTCATTTGAGTCTTTCAGTTTTCAAGTTTGAAAGTTTCACTCACATAACCAACTCTCCCTGGAGCTCCACGCCCCCGGATCCACACCACACAGCCACGGTACCGCTCAGGCTTTGCCTGGTGCTCCCACTCAGCCTCCTCGCCGAGTGCCCCGCTGAGCGAGTACCGGTCAGCCAGGGCCACTCACCAGGGGTGGGCGACAGCTCTCCTCAGAAGGCCAAAGCAGAGCGAGTGCCTTTCCTTCCTCATGCTGGGTGCCAGCGGAACACCTCTATCCACCGTCACAAGCCGGAGGGTGCTCAGGCCCCAGGGCTCCTGGGGACATCTCTCCTTGGAACTCCTGTGACTAGGTCCAAACACCCTAGCACTTGGTCGAATGAATGGAGCCGGTCAGAGTAGCAACACTGCTTCCCTGGGGTGAGTTGCCTGGGCCACATCAAGCGGGCCACCTCCTTCAACCCAGGCAGGGCCCTGGGAGGGTGTAAGGGCGACCTCCAGTTCCTTCCTCCCTCTGCCTGCCCTGGCATCCTCTGGAACCCGAGAAAGATTGTTCCATGTGCTACCTAACTGACAGACCTGGCAGAGCAGGCCCTCTTGTTCCCTTCAGGAAAGAGCCCTGTGCTTGGTGTGGGCCCCTTTGTATTTATTACTAACCTTCAAGCAGCGACAGCCAATACAGAGACACTTGAAGCAATCAGGACTGAAGATGACTGTGGCACGCCTGGCACTGCTGCCCTCCAGGGTCAGCCATCAGGGATCCCAAACAAGGCCATGGTGCCGTCCCTGGGCAGTTCCAGGCTTGGATCCCAAAAGCAAGCAGGTTCCTCAGAGCAGTGGGGCAGGGCAAACGAACAGTGGGGGCCACTGGCTCTGACTCCTTCCAGCCGCGTGTTCTTGGCGCTCGCTGCCCTGCAGACAAGACAAGGACAGAGGGCACAGCCGCCTAGAGACGGGGATCCTGACAGCACTTTCCCACTCCTAAATGGACCCCAACATCAAGTGACCTTCCATTCTTGGAAAAGCAGCGTCTTCCTTCTTTATCTGTAGCAGCTCACAGGTTGTAGCAGGCAAGCACATCTTTGGACCTGGGCCCATGGTAGTGTGGCTGCGTTTTGCTACATGACGGGTTGTGAGACTTGTTTAATCACTGTGAATCAACCTCCTTCTCCCCTCCCCGGTCCATGCATTTTCTAAGTGGGACACTTAAAACACTGTCTCCCTGAAACTCAGATTATCATTTCCAGACGTGGGACCTCCATGCTGGGCTCGGGAGGGATCCACTGTAGGAACTGGCCCCATCTTATGTTCAGTGCTTCTCTGTGCTCAGAAATATTCCTCCATTCTAAGAGTCTCACGGAGTGGCGTGTAGCATCCCTGGCCCATCTGTGCCACTTAAGCCAGTGAGTGTATGGTCAGTGTGGGTCACCTTTTCCAAAAGTGGTACCTAGTTCTCACTTCTAGTCTAAACCACTCAGACTCGTGGTGGTTTGAGGATACTGGAGCACATTAGGATTCTCTGAGTAATACTCCTCCCTCTGAGAAGCCACCATCATTTTTAAGACTCTCTTGGGCTCAGCTTGAGTAATAAAATAGTTAAGGCGCAGAGCACAGACTGTGTGTCACACAAGTGTCACTGTCAGATGTAGTATAATTATTCTATAACAGCACAAACCATTCTGCCTTGGCTCATCTAAAAATGAGTGTGTTAGAGTCGGGGTGAAATACCTTAAGTGAAAACAGAAATCACATCTTAAAGCTTTTAAATGAGTCACTGGGCCTCTTTAGTAACTGAAGTCTGATGAGTGGGTGTAGATGGGGCGTAATCAGGCAGGATGGCAACAAAATCTTGGCTTGGGACTAAAAAGGCTCCAATTCAGCTATGTCTGGTATTTAATTTTGTAATACAGCATTCTTAAAGCCTCTAGAGTAAGGATATTTGTGTACACAATAAGGAAAAAATAGAGGAAGAGACCTACCTTATTGAGATTATTTTATATCTGAGCACAGAGTTTTAATCAGACTCTGGTTTACATTATTTACTGGTTCTGCCACCCACGGTGGTGTCCCTAGGATCCCACATGAACGTGAGTCCTTAATCCAGTGCCTGGAAGAACCTCTTTCAGCTACCAAATCAGGCACCAACGTTCAGGCCAAATGACATGGGAATCGCAGGGATGTGTCATTTCTGTCAGTTTAGTTTGCTTTGGCCTCTTGCCTCGTAGGAAGAGCTGGTTCTTGGCGGACACCGGGGAAGTTCTCACTTCTTCGTCACCTCTATAGTCTGGAGGGGTCTCCTGGCTCCGTTTCACCCTGGTCTTTAATAGCTGCCAAGTGTCTTGCTACTTTCTATGCCTTTCCAGATCTCCGAAAATTCTTCCTGCCAAGAAAAGCCTTCTGTCCCAAACCTTTCGTCCAGAGCAGCTTTGCCCTCTCTCCACCATCTTGGGTCCTCCAGTGTCCACACTGCCTGTAGCCTAGGAAACCACCACCATGGACCCTGCCAGCCATCAGTACAACAAAGCTGTTTACTGCTCAGTCCTTGTCTCCCAGGTCCAGACCAAATATAGGACCAGCAACACCCAATGGTGTCACCGCCTGCCATGCCCCAGGCACCAAAACAATAAGATAGAATTGGTTAGATGCTGTTGGACCCAATTCGAAGAGTAGATCCCAGACATATCTTTCAGGTGACCCTCAACTACCTCAGGTTTGAAGGCCCTAAATTATGCTGTTTACCACTCACAGCAACAAGCCGAGGGGGTTTGGTTAAATCTAGGTGATAACAAATGTCTCAAATTCACAACGAACTCACATTTAGGTTTGCAAGGATGGGTTGGGTTGGTTTTTCTTCTGTTTTTAACCTCTTCCCCCAGTTCTCCATTAGAATAGTTCCTATAAATAAATTTCATTTCTCACGGAGTGCCTACCTTCCCAGGGCAGGTAGCCACTGGCTTTTGTTTCCTTCCAACAACACTTTTATTATGGTATTAAGACCTTTCTTTGTATAATACATTGCATCTGTGTTTTCAATTTTTCAAATAAATATTTCAGCTTGGCAGCAGGGGGCAGTAGTGATAACCGGTCACAGTGGCCTTGAGATCTGGGCTCCAGGGAAAAGCCTGCTGGTGCACCCTAAGATTCCTGGGATCCACTTAGCTCTGTGCCTCGGGGTCTGCATCTTAGGAACATTTATCGGCTCTTCCTGCGCATGTTCTGTCTTTGTGCAGCGCCCTGTGAGACTGATCAGACAGTGCCAAAGTGGTCATGACGATGATTTATCCAGAGAGCCAGGTCTCTGTGTAAAATCTGAGGGCTCAGGCTGTGGCTACTCCTTCCTTATCCTAAAGATACAAGCATAAAGTGCTGCCTTCAAATTGGATGTGACTCATTCAGCTCACGACTGGAAGTTGCTAATCATGAGGAGATTCGAAGTAAAATAGCCGCAGCCGCTGTAGGATTTGCAGAGGAGCTAACAAAGGGGTTGGGCTGCACAGTGACCTTTCCACTGCAGGGCAGACTGCATGAAGATACATGAGGTGACCCACTGGGGACATGCAGAGACTCAGAGACTCAGAGAAGGGTGGCTGCAGACTCTGGCCTCTGGCTGGGCTTCTCCACCTCCGGTAACAGTGCCACAGTGACCCTGCCTGCTCTGAAGCACTTCTGATAGGACGGAGGGTTCCTGGTCACAGTGGCCTGCAGGTTATTCCTGGAGCTCGATTGTGAAGCTCAGGAGCCCAGAAAGCCAGGCAGCAGGACTATCCTGGATCCTAGGCTTCCACGAAGTTGCATTGAAATTGGCTAAGTCCCCCTTCCAGACCCGAGTCTGACCTGGGCCAACAGAGCTACCAAGCCGAAACCTTGCAGGTGTGCCACTCCCCCCAGCAGCACTTAGCCTTGATCAGGTGCCCCAGGAGCTGGTGCTCACACCCGAGAGGACCTTCTGCGTCCAGTTCCAGGAGGGCAGCCTAGTTAGCTGTTCAGTTGGGCTGGCAGAGTGTTCTGATACCAGAATGATGCTAACAGCCCCTTTAAAAGGCTTGGAGGGTTAGGGTTTATACAGGCAGGGGTCAAAGCTGCCTGGGATCTGGGCTTGGGGCTGCTAAGGTGAAAAGGGAGAAAGTGGAGGTGGGCAAGTGACAGGAAGGCACAGAGTGAAAGCACACTGGGTCCGGCTGTGAGTTAAAGCCAGCAGGTTGGAATCCCTCCTGTCCTGGTCACCCCCGTCTCTCATGTCACTGATGTGTGGCAGACTTCTGAACGTTACTTTCGAATGAACGGATGGCCCCTATATTCCAGCACGTCCACAGACACTTTATACATTACGCATCCAGCCAGGTCCTTTGGAGGACAAAGGCTTTACGTTCCCTGTCCTCAAAAATTGCATTCATATGTTGCTGCCCGCTGTCTGCTGTGTCAGGCACCGGGAGCACAGCGAGAACAAACATGGTTCTGGAGTGCAGGCTGTTGAGGGAAACAACAGCATGATGCAGCAATCATGGTAACAGGCGCTAAGGTAAGGCAGAATACCAGCAGCCTGTCAGGAGTCCTGGAAAAGCACCCTTGACAAGGATACTGAGTATCAGTCAGTGCTAACTAGAGAAACATTTAATGCAAGAGGTAGGAATGTAGAATTTAGAAGAATGGCTTACAGTGTCCACCCAGCCAGGTATGGAAGAGTGCAGAAGGGCTGTCTGTGCGCTGGACAGCTGAAGGATCCAGCTGAAGGCCTGGACACTGTAGTGTCCCCTGTGTGTCTGTATCAGGAGGCCAAAGGGTCTGTGCTGGGAACTAAGAGGGACATCCAACAGGTGAGGACTAGAGCTCCCCTGAAGAAACAGGAGCCAGCCTCTTTCTTTTCCTTTTATTCCATTCAAGCGACAAATCTGTTGGTTGCTGCCACTCATGCCCAGGGTGAGTCTTCAGTCTTCAGTAAATCCTTCAGCCACACCCAAAACTATGTTGATCCAATTCAACTGGGCATTTCTTACTCAAATTGACACAGTTAACAATCACCCTGAGCTAAGATCCAGAAGATGAGGACCTAGTAGGCAGACAAGGTAGTAAGAAAGTTCACTCCCAGTAGGAGGTGCATGTGCAAAGGCCCTGTGGTGAGACAAAATAAGTGAAAAAACAAGCAGGGCAAGATTTGCATTTTGAAAAGACTTCTGGATACAGTGTGGACTTCAGATCCAAATGGAGCAGGAACAGGTAGGCAAACCAGAAGACAGCAGTTGTAATGGCCCAGACAAAGGATGGCAGTGAAAACAGCAGAAGTGGCCACAGGTGGGGGGAGCATGCTAGAGAGGCACTTCCAAGGAGGGCTCTGAGATTTCTTCTGGTTTGTGGAACTGATGGTCCCATCACCTAGGGGAGGGCATGTGGGCAGAAAGCTAGAGGGGCATCAGGGGGATGTTCTCAATGGGTTGCCTTGGAGACCCCAGGAGATGCCAAGGGATCCCTGAGGAGATTTGATGGTGACTGAAAGCACAGCTCAGAAAGAATGAGAAAAGCTGCAGAGCAGAGGCTTGAGGCTCAGTTCACGAGTGCCTTGGAAAGCAGAGTGAGGGGTAGAAGGAGGATCTAGGCAATGTGGGTCTGGCAACCAAGGGCAGATTGATTTTAGGCAAACACAGCACTGTTCCGAACGCCCAAGACCATCTGCACATGGAATGACTGAGAAAGGCTGCCCCCAAACAGTCACTGGTCTCCAAAGGGTGTATCTGATCCACCGGGTACAATAAGAGGATAATGGGACGCCATGAAAGAAAGAAAAATGAAGCAGTAAGTTTAGGAAAAGTCGACATTCTGATGAAAGCATAGCATTTCTTAAACATGGGAAACACAGCTAAAAGGTTATGACCAAGCCAAAGATCAATTTGAATACTAGGCTCTCAGTCCATTCAGGTTGTTATACCAGAAGTACCCTAGACTGAGTAAACAGCAAACCTTTCTCACAGTTCTGGAGGCTGGAAAGTCCAAGGTCAAGGGCCGGCAGGTAGCAGCCAGACACAGCGACACTTTCTTGCTGTATTTGTGGCAGAGAGAAACGATTCATGGTTCACTGGGGCACCAATCCTCTTCACAAGGGCTCCAGCTTCCTCACTAATCACTTCCCAAAGGCACCACCTCCAAACCCCATCACACTGGGGGTTGAGACTTCAAGGTAACCTCTTGGTGGCTCACGCCTGTCATCCCAGCACTCTGGGAGGCTGAGGCAGGAGGATCACAAGTTCCAGCCCAGGCTGGCAACTTAGTAAATTACTGAGATCCCGTGTCAAAATAAAAAATATAAAAGGGCTGGGGATGTTGCTCAGTATGAAGGCCATGAATGCAATTCCCAGTACTGGGAGAAAAAAGAAGAAAAAAAAAACCACACACACACTTCAGTGTATGAACTTTAAGGGCCTCAGGCTAGAAGATTCCGTTTGCTTTGCAAGTAGAGGCACCGCTGAGTCTTAGGGAGACAGGCCTGGCTCTGAACCCACCACCTCTGTTCACCAGTCACACTGAGGCCACTCAGAGCTGGCACAACATTTCTGTCACCCCCCAAGAGATCCCCACACCTCCTCTGTCCCCATTCCAGGCCCCGGGTTAGAACCCAGGGCTCATGCATGCTAGGCAAGTGCTCTGCCACTGCGTGGCTCCCCAGGGCCCTGTTCCCATGACTGCCTCTCATTCGCTACTCTCCATTCTCCCTGAGCAGTCTCCTGTTCCCACAGGCTCTGGAACCCTCTGCCTCATCTGTGTGACTCTGCCTGCTCTGGGCCAGAAGCGCCAGCCAGCGCTGACAGTCAGTAGTACTGCTTCGAGGGTCTCTGTTTCTAATTTAAAATCAGACCTGAACTATACTTTAGGACTTCGACTCATTGTTCCATATCTCATCGAATTAAATCTGTTTTTTCCTATAGGACCAATATTCAAAAGTTAAGGGTTCATTTTACTCCATTCCTCTGTTGTTTGAAATGACTAATATCACAAGTTGTGTCCTGCAGATTTATGTCAATTCAGTAACACTGCTGAGCACCTTTTGTATGCGAGAGTCTATAGGAAATACAGAAATAAACAAGACACAGTTCTTTTAGGATCTTTCCAACTTGGAAGACAGACATGTACATTAAAAAGCAAAGTATAAAAAGTGATGAGATGTTATTTCAAGAAATTTCTAAGTAGGCGAAGAATAGAGCAATAATTTTAGGAGGTAATGGAGCTGGGCATGGTGGCACATACGTATAATCTCAGCATTCAGGAGGCTGAGGCAGGAGGATCAAGGCCAGCCTGGGCTACATGGCTACATAATGAGTTCGGGCATCTGAACTAAATAGCAAGACATGTCTCCCCAAAATAGAAGGTAATGGAACACATCAAGAGAAATGTTTTGGCTCTCGGCGAGGGAGCTGCGGCGACGCCGGCGGGCCGCTGGCGAGCTGGGTTCGAGAGGAGAGGAAAGCAGGAACTCACGGGAGGGGAAAAGGAAGGAGCTGGAATGTCTCACTCCCCAGAGTAGTAACAGTGTAGGAAGATGGGAAGGACGAAGAAAGAAGGTAATGACACATCAAGAGAAATGTTTTGGCTCTCGGCGAGGGAGCTGCGGCGACGCCGGCGGGCCGCTGGCGAGCTGGGTTCGAGAGGAGAGGAAAGCAGGAACTCACGGGAGGGGAAAAGGAAGGAGCTGGAATGTGTCACACCCCAGAGTAGTAACAGTGTAGGAAGATG